AGTGAAGACATGAGGTTTTTCATGACGTCTTCGGGTTTCGCATGTCTGGCGACGTGGGTGGATGGACAGCAGCGGAGAAAAGAAGTGGCGGAAGGGAAGCAACTGCAGCAGCAAAGCCCTGTTTTTTTTGGTTCCTCCACGCCCTTAGACTGGTGTTCACCATGGTGGTCACAGCCTCAATAAATCAAGGCCTGAGACTCTCCCTTCCAGGCCAGGCAGTCTAAGCGTGCGTCATCGCTATTCGCTAGTCCTGAAGCAGTCGAGTGGGACAAGATCAAGACGCTTATGGGAAAGATCAAAGCGCAAGTAAACACCTGAACATCTCCAACAGAAAGCACCAACACACACAGAACTGCACTGTTCAGAAACACATTCCCCTCAATAACTACATGTTTGAGCCGCCTGACAAGAACACACAGACCATCCAGGTCTCAGTTTCATTTTTTCATTCATGAGCCATCGCTGTATATTAGGTTGGAGGCCATCGCTACTAGGGTGGAGGCCATCGCTAGTAGGTTGGAGGTCATCGCTAGTAGGTTGGAGGCCAATGCCATTAGGTTGGAGATGTTGAACGTTTCTAAAGGCCCACATCACGAGTGAAGAGATGCTCGCTGTAGGCATCATTTGGGCGTGCCGACCGTTCTAGCCTTGGGAGCGGAATGTGGCTGGACAAACAGCAGCATACTGTAACCGTTAGGCACAACCCTCAATATCTCAACTGTTGGTTTTTCAGTTGAAGATGCTTGGGCACCAGGCACTCAATTCCTGTGGTGACAGTTCATAAGACACATCTTTTGGAGGAGGATTGCAGTATGCGCGCCATGGTGCTGTAGTGTTCCTTTTTCTTTGGCTCTATTCATTATGTATACTTATATCATATACAACAATTACAAGATGTATATATAGGTAGAGTAGTGACTGGAAGTCAGATCTTGGATCACCTCCTTTTGTCCCACATCGTCAGCTAATTCCTGCACCAAGGCGCGACTCGAGAAGCTTTGGACTGGCTAGGGGTTAAAGGGATGCATTTTTATGTCATATTACCTCATTGCCTTTGACTGATGAAGCATTTGGACTGCCCGTTAGATAAAGATGCGGAACCGTTATACTTGGCTTGGAGTTACCAATAAGTTTAGTCGCGTGCTTCTAACCCTTGCCCGGCACCAGAAGACACGGACAACCGTTGGCTGCACGTCCTCGGCTTCGCATGAAGAACACCCCAGTAGACCTAAGTAAAGTAGTGCAAATGCTTGATACAAGTCCATGCAGAGAGAGCCTCTAAATTTCTAGACCGTTGCGAGAGCAGGTTTGCCTTCGATTGTGTTCGGGTCGCGGTCAGGAGCACTTGTGGCAGCAGAAGAGGGCCAACCCCTTGCAAGCACCTGAGCGTGAGTGCTTCTCACAGGAACAGCAATGTGTTTCCGTCACCTCAGGTGAACTTCCTTCCTCTTTGTCGATGTTGCTTTGCCTCTTCCAATTTTTGTCAAGGGGTTCAGTCTAATGGTCCTGAGGCGCTTTGGCCCACAAAGCAGCCAAAAGCAGAAGAGGCAGAACAATGCTGCATACATGTAAAACAACCATATATAGATACATATGTATGGCATTGTATGTCTATGTGTATTTAGTTAACGATGTTTTGACTTGCGTATCCATATATGGATATATAGTACTATTATGTGTCTGTGTGTTTGCGCGTGTGTGGCTTTACAAAGTTGAGTGCTAATTTGATTGCCAGACTTGCCTTTCTCAAGTCGCAACAGTGAAAAGAACTACTGTATTGTAGGTCCATGCTTGAAGCAGTAGCTCGGGAATGGATATATATATATATAATGCCCTTTGAGGCAAGTACATTCATGCAAGTACCTTTGCCGATACCATTTGTTGCGAGTAGCTTTCATTCTCCACCCATGTTAACTGGTACAAGCATACTGTATACAAGCTGGGAGGTGTGGTGTGGTGTCGGGGAGGTCTTGTTTTTGCGGCACAAGCACTGCCGCTGCTTCATGACCGGGACTTGTGGGCAGTGATTCCAAAAAAACACGGCTGCCGAAAGCGCCTCAACATATACACAGGCTTTGTGCATAGTAATGTAGACTCTCGATTCACATTTGGATGCACGCACTTGCGGTCGATGTCCGCGTCCACTCAATCCCTTGTCACATTGTGTGACGGGTACTGGTGGATGTCGTGAGTGAAAATGTCCGAGCTAGAAAAGAAACTCCCCACATTTGGATTGTAAAACCTCTTTCACACCACTCGCGCATACAACTGGTCAAGGCCAAGTGAGTGTATATATATGGGGGGGGCAGTGTATTCATCGAGATTCTACATTAACGTATTTGTTATACATATGTTCCACTGTAGTATATAGATGTACCAAATGAAATTGGGCAATTTTTGCTCTTGTAAAATGACTTCTTTGCATGGCTTTGCAGTCAGGTCTAACGGTTCCGTTTCCAGCCAAACCGCATTCCAGACGTGGTTCATGTTTTGCACCAGAATCCATTTGAGGAACCGTGGAGAAAAATAATTGGCCGTTTAAGAATTCGAGACCTGACTGGTACGGCAGACCTCCCAAAAATGTTGGCACATTCCAACTTGTTGACGATGACACCGTTGAGGGAGCCTTCTTCCTTTGATACACTTCCATTTAAGGCAATGCAAGCGTTTGGCCATAGGGAGGGTGGATTTGGACTCCGGCCTGACCTTTGCAGGCGCCGGTCCAGGTGCGCTGGATGGGGCGAAAGATGGGATTCTTGTATTTAGTCGGGCGCAAGTGGGAGTTGAGGGAGTGTGAGTAAAGGATCGTGATAGTGGGGCATAGTAATTACCCTTTATCCGCCACTGGTCAGTATACCCACCGCTGGCTTTTTTTTGCACCGGGTCATTGTTTGACTTTTGCGGGAGCCATGAGATAGCTGGGAATGCCAAGAACGCAAGCTGCAGTCGTCAGAATGACGGGTGGAGTGGTTGATATTGGTTAAGGCAGGAACATGATGGACATACTCTCCTTTTAAGATGTTCTTGTTCCTTTGGCAACATTGTCCTCGATCCTCCAGAAACTTGTTGTCCACTTCCATGTCACTGAGTGGAATCCCTTGACCACCCCGGCGGTCGTGCCGATGCAGAGTTCGTTTGGAGCCCATGACTCTACGTCCGTGTGAGTGAGTGGTGTTTTCAGAATCACTGATGTCCAAGTTGTCATCTCAGTGACTCAGATCCTTCAGCCAAATCGCTCCTCAGGTGCATCACGCTCAAAGGTGTGAGGGCAGAGTCTCAGAAGGTGGATGCATCAGTCACCAGTTGTGACGTGATGATGTAGGACTCTCGGGTTGCTGTTCGTGTTCGACTTGGAGAATTTTGTTCGGCTGGCTTGGAGATTGAGAGGATCACTTCCCTTCTGTGGCGGGCGCCCATTCCAGCGAAAACCATGGCGGGCGCAAGCTGCTTGACGGCCCGGCTGAATCAGCCGCACCGGACACAACTCAATAGCTTACACTTCCAAAAACTAACATGCACCCTGAGAATGGGACCCGGAAAGGCTGTTTTCCTCTACAAGCCTAGTGGTTTTCACGGTCTATGTGAGTTTTCCTATGTTTGCCACGGGGTATATCATAATAGATGCCGACTGGCTCGCACATTCCGACCCGTGGACGAACCGTGGACGGACCCGACATGCTGCTTGTCAAGTGTACCCAGTGGGTGTGAGTCAAAACCGGGGGACCTTGCCAGTCAACCACTCCAAATGAACGGAAGAGTTCAGTGTTTGGGGGAGGTGTGAGGTCACACGACCCACTGCCAAGTGTGTGGAGAATATGCAGGACTATGGGCAAGTGTTCCACTTCACACCGAATAGCATTGCAGATGTGCACCCGTGCGCCATGCGGCAAAAGCTCTGCGGAGCTCAGAGTGGCTGGCCGACAGTCGGGCCAGTCAGTTGTGGGCGCACAACTGCCCTCCCATCCGCTTGAGTATGAAAAGGACTGTAGACTGTGCGGATGGTACACAGGTGATGGAAGAATGATTATGAAGAATCTATCATGGGTTGGAACTTGAAAACTTCAACTTAGATGGTTGAATTGATGAGACCGGAAAGGAAGTCATCGTGAACACTTAACAACAGTGTTTTTTCACTTTTCTTGCACTGTTCACGAAGTCAAGAAACAACGAAAACGCAACAGCGTTCTTTCGGGGAAAGAACGAGGCATCAATGCGTCCAAAAAGAGGTGGAAAAGCACCACGCGGGCGACACATGGATGCTTTCGGCGTGGCACGCAGAACACAATAGCTTTTAGCCCTTAGAGGCAGGCCTCGATGCCTAGTTCTGTTCCCTACATGAAGGGAATGAGCAGCAGTTTCAGCAGTTATGCAGGGTCAATTGCCCTCACAACAAGTGGCAACGTAAGACTCAAAGGTCAAAGATCCCTGCGTTCAAGATATCCCTTGCCCCTTGACCAAGCTTTCCCAAGCCTAGCATGGTGTGTATTAGTGCTTTTAAGGCTTAGGAATCTCAAAGATTCCTGCCGTTTGGTTGGTCATCCGCCATGTTCCGCTCGTGACGCATGGCATGGCTACACTGGTGCCTGGCATGCTTCATGGTACCAAACATTTAGCATGATGCCATATGATGCCACACTCAGATTTTTACTTGTGTTATGATATTGTTGAGCAAGTAGTTAAGCATAGTTTATCAAGATGAATGATGAATTGGCCCTGACATGATATGTCCCCGTGACTTTGTGTGCTAGTGTCATTCCTAGTTTTCTTCAGTCCCCCAAGGCTTGAGCGGCTTGGTCCTTGGCCAAGAACTTGCGCAATACTACAGCCGAGACCTCAGGTTTTCATGCGGCAAGCTGCATGTCATACTTTTGCCAGTGGAACCTGGCGATCCGGCGGCCATTCGGAATGTATGCAGTGTGCTGACTCGACTTCCAGTTTTTGTGGGTTTCGAACTCGCCAGATTTGGCTCAAGTGACCCTCCTTAGGAGATCACCCCTTTCATGTCTCACAGCGAAAAGATCCAACCGCCGGCGATTGGTTCAGTGATCCCGACAGGTAGTCCCGACTTCTTGCCTGAGAGGAATGATCGTTCAGGCAAAAAGCTTTGGGTGAAGCTGAAGAACAACTACACACCCGCACAAAACTCCACACCAGGCGGGGGGAAAAGGCGGCCATGGTGCCGATCCCGAAGGTATGTCAAGAATTCCGGAACTCCTCGTGGTTCTCTACAAGGATGGCAGGTGCTGCTTTCCAAGCATGAAAACCCAATTTCCCTCTAGTCAATGTCTTGCCGCAAAGCACCGACTCTTCGGGGCCTTTGACGAACTCGAGTAGCTTCGCGCGAACCGGCACGCGAATGCAGGTTCCCGCGCAGCCGCCATTTTCAGGGCCCTCCGGTCCAAATCCAAAGCTACAGTCCGGACTACTGGAAGATGCAGCATTGAAGAAGCCTGCAAAGGGGTGGTGGACGGTGACTCAGACATACGTGCCAGCAGTACTGGTCAAGAAGTCGTTGGAAGTCCAGTCCAACCAGGTAGTCAGACTTCTTCTTTTTTAACCGGGAATGTGAGTTAATTCATTAAAAAACAAAAAATACATATAGCAGGGCTCGATCAGCTGTATATTTATATATATATATTGTTGATTATTTTTGCATATGTATACAATATGCGTATTTATCCGTCAATAGCGTCAGTATATTATATATGTTTTATGGATAACAGATTCTGAATGAATCTCCTTGTTCAATGTTCCTGCTATGGATTTTGATGGTCTTGCAACCGCATGTGTCTCATTTGTTGTTTCTGAGGCTGTGTTTGTCCCCAGCGCCTTTGGTTTGGGTTTCAATCTTATACATATGGTGCCGAGCTGTGTTCTATAATCCGTAAATGTAGCGGTTGCCACTTCTGACGGCGTTTACACCCAAAAAGGCAGCATGCAACCCACAAGATCGGTCAACACGCGATCTTGGGCAAGAGCAATACACATCCAATGACAATGCTTTCTCATGCAGCACAGGCCACTTTCAGCGTTCCCACCCCTGAACACCCCACCCGGACTCTTCTATGGCGGTAGGCCATCGCTCGTAGGTTGGAGGCCGCTAGTAGAAACCGAGGCTTGTTCAACCTCGACGAACTCGTTCTCGGGAGGCAGTTCGATACCGAGGCGTGGGGGAAGCGAGGCTTTGCCTTCCAACGCCTCGACACACCTTCTTCTCCTCGTTGCTCATGAGTTGCTTTATATTCATCGGCTTATTGGCGCTCAGTGCAGCGGAAGTGGGCCTCTTAGGCCTTCCAAAATGGCCATGGATCACTTTGGTACTGCGCGTGGTTGGATGGGCCTTCTTGCTTCTTGGACGGTACATACTGGTCATGAAGGGTAGGAATTTAAAACCATGCCGGAACCATCGGAAGGATCGAATTCTATAGGGAGCCCGGCATGGCTCGACTCTCAGAGGCACAAACATGACTCAAGACACACTTGGAACATTGGTTTCCATGACTGAGGACGAAAGCTTCACGTAGTGTGTTTGGATATGTACACATTTGCACAAGGCATGGGACATGGGTGCAGGGAATGCAAAACCAATGTTACAACGAAAGAGGAGAAAAACACAGCAGCACAAACAGTTGAAGAAGACAAAGGCTCCAAACCACCATTTTTTTAAGCTCCTCCTCGTTTCCCCACCTGGGGCTCCTGGTTGCACACAAGATGAAGAGAGAGGAATCAACTTTGATATCATTTTGTACACGCATGTGCACGCACTTGTATGTGACTAATATATCCACTGCATATTATACAGCATATGGTATTGTTAATTGTTATGTATTATATATGTTGTATATACAAGATACTCTCTACAATTATATGATATGATCACATATGCTCACAAAGTATTTTGCACGGTACTTTTTTTCCAGGGGAACGTCCTACCGTCAATCACAGCACCTTTCTTGAGAAGAAAGCAGCTGACCCAATGAAGACCTGGGAATCCCAGCCGCCTCGCCCAGCCAGGATCATGCGACGGCCCACCCGTTGACCCCCGAAGCTCGGGGCTCGCGGTCCCAAGTCCCAATGGTGGCACGTCTTCCCCACATCTCTGCACCGACGCCTGGTTCGAGCCGAGTGGGTCGAGCCCTGTTCGTCGTCCGATCGCTCCGTTCGTGAGCGATGTCCGAAATGAAATGCTATGTTCGTAGCGGACCTTGTTCCTAGTAGCGATGCCAGGAGCCCCTAGTAGCTTCATGTAGCTTCTTGTTTCTAGTAGTAAGGCCAAGAGCCCCTTCGCAGAACCTGCAGGTTCTACATTCCCATTCACCTCATTGCCGTGCCTTTCACGCGAAACTTTGTCCTTTGGGCACTCGAGCCTGGGGAGAGCTTGAGTGAAGTGGGTTTGTCAGAGCGTCCTGCTCGATGCCAGAAGCGAGCTACCTTGCTGCCGTATGCCACGCATGCATGCTGGATTCTGGTTTACGCTCTGGTTCACTTGAAGCACTTATCTAGCACCATTGTGGTTTTGTTGTCCAAAAGGGTGGGCCCTTTATTTGCTGTTTTTCTGTGTAGGGTTCAGTTTTCTGTGAACGCTCAACGTTCAAAAGGAACACAATCGCTGCCAACCTGAGGTGATTTGCATTAGCATTGGGGAGGAAAACCTTGGACATTTTGGTTTCATCCCGATCTATGCCCTAGGAAATGTTCTCATGATGCCTGTGGGCATATTTTTTACCCTGCTGCTTGCACCGCCGACAGTCAGCCGGCGCTATGCGTTTAGGATTGGCCCTGCTACAATCTTGTTCCCAATCATCGGCTTCCTTGTCATGGCGGCTGGAAGCAACTGAAGTGCTTTATTTAATTTGTTGCCACCCACCCCCACATGTCACAGAACAGGCCCAGAAATCAAATAGTGTCAAGTTCCCTTACGCAGTGTGGTTTGAGATTTCCAGTTGGATCAAGCCAGATCATCAACAAAGGTGTCTAGTTACATCCTTTTGCGCAGACTTTCTGGTCCTTGGCTGGGATTTTTGATGCCACCCTTGCTGAGTACATACGAGCTGCTCGGGACTTCTTTGGTTTCCAAGTTTTTTACCAAGGACCTTGGGCGACCGAAAGGGTCGGCAGATTGGGCCTGCCGGGGTGACATGTGAAAGATCAATTGGCTACAGAATATGAAAGGATCAATAGGCTGTGTTCGGGGGGCCCTTCAACCACTCCGTTCTAATTGATTGCGTTTTTTTTTGCAGCTTCTTCTCCTGCAGTTCTTTAAGAATGCGCCCGTTTGAACAGCACGCCACCGAAACGAACGGCAGGAGTACGTCACGCAGTGGGAAGTGCGTCAAGGGTATGCTGGTACCAATCAGGGGCTGGTGGTCTCGATTGCCATTTGCAACCTGCATGCGATGGCGGAGGGAGCTCGGCTGACGTTCCTTTATGTGGACTACTTGGAGAACCAGGACGGGAGCAAGATGTGGAGAAGACATGGGAGGAAGTGTAGGGTGCAGACGTTGTCCAATGTTTTCAATTGGACCCTGCCAGTAGGACTGGAGCATTGTAGTTCCGATTCTTACCGGAGTTCTTTGGAATGTGTTGGCACGCTTTGGGACACTAGACCGTGTGTTGCACATCATCACGTGTGGTTGGCGAAAGCCCAACAACGGTAGCAAGCTGCTGCGAGAATCTGGGTCACTTGGCGATCGAGGAGGATCTTTTCCAAGATTCGATCAGAAACACTAGACTCAACTCAAGCAACCCGAGGCACGGACGGGTTTTTGCCGCGTGAAAGGCACCTTTTTTGCCCCACTTCAGTCAAATTGTCCCATTCCATCCCATTCACAAAAGGTGGGTATGTAAAGTAAGCTCTTGATTAATAATCCCCCGGATTGGATGCACACACTTGCGGACAAAACGTACGCTTCCACACACGCCCTTGTCACATATTATGACGGGCCTTGGTGGAGTTGGTGGGTGAAAAAGTGACCATGGATAGTATGTACAAAAGAACGAACGTGAAACCGAAAGGCAAGCAAGGCGACGGACAAACGAAAACAAGCTAGTCTTTCCAAGTCACCGCACCTCGGGCACCAAATTGGCAACTAATTCAGGGGCTCGTCGGATGCACGATTGTGTCAAAGTTTTTCTTGCGAAATAATGCGTAGCGGACATGCTGGACAAATGCCTCCTGCTTGTCGGACGGTATCTCCGGGAGAGCCGGCCACGCCGGTGTAGTCAAATTTTCTGGTAGCGGAGGAATTTCAATCTCGTTATGAAACGGTGGATCATGAGGCATATTTTTAAGCATGCGATGAATATATTGATATGTCTGCGAAGCATTAGGTAAAATCGGTCTGCGAGAAATGCCCCCTTCGTGATAGTTTGGATTGGATTGAGCAACCTCTTCATATGGGGTGTTGTTAATCAAGAGTCTACATTACGCTTGGGGTCATCATCATTACCAATCACCAACAACTCTAATTCAATCTTCCTCGAATCCTGTTGGTAGCATTTGCATGACAGATGTTAGCATTGCCTGGGCACAATGTGTCCAGAGCCATGTGAAAGCCATTTGAGGGTTAGTTGGGTTATTTTTGTAAGTCCAACATCAAGGGCAACGTTTGTCAGGGTTGTGCAGAGGATGGGTAACACAGTGTTTCACACAGTGTCACAGTGTCATGAAGCTTCGAAGCTTGAGTGGCCTTTTTTTTGTTGAGAAAAAGACAAAGTCTTGGAGTTCCTGCAAGGTATTGCATGGGCTACCTGCGATTCGGCGCGATGGGTGCTTTATTCCTGGTGCGTTTGTGCATTGGAGCACCCTGGGCCTGGGATGGTCCAGAAGTCACCCTGATGGCAGGCATGCTTCTGGCCGAGATCTTGGAGGACTTGATGAGCTATGCCATGTGGCGGGCCGGTCTGGACATCTCTCCAGCGCCATACCTGGTGACTGAGCAGGAGGTTCAAGACATTGCTACCATTGTGCTCAATAAGCGCAAAGCATCCAAAGAGAAGTCACGCACACTGTCGACTGAGCAGGCCGATGTCCAGTCGACCAAAGACAGGCCGGTGCCGGGAGCCCCTTCGGCTGGATCGACGGAAGACCCTGAAACGGCGGGAGCGGCTGGAGCGGTGCCTTCCGAGCGGAAGCTGATGAAGTCCACGTGTTGGCGTCTCTTGGGGAGAACATGTTTCTTAAGAATTGGTCGCTCAAAGTGGATGATGTACACATGACATATATACACCCTCGCAGGCTGCCATAGAACCCGAAAATACTTGAACATGGAACATGGGAAGAGAACATTCCTCTACAAGACCAGTCTAAAATTTGTATGTGAGTCTGCAAGGGTGATCAATGGTGTATAAACGGTGTATCATGCATTTTGGAGCACATCTGGTGCATATGGGGACAAGGGAGGCGGACGTGACCGACCTTCTTCATCCCAGGCCTTCGAGTGGCCTATGACTTTCGGTTCCGGATCGAGGCCTTTGATCAGATGCCATTCTGGGGGCACCTTCTACCTGCTGCCATGGCTCAGTTCCATACGATCTTTGCCATGCTGATTTTTTCCAATGGCTTAGACTACATTTTAGGCGTGTTTTTTTTTTTTCCTCGATGGCGTTGCACACCTTTGGCCCCTGAAAGCTTGAAACCTTTGGCTTTAGATCCAAGATATCGCAAGTTGTTTTTCCTTCCAGTCTCATGGTTTGACATTTCACATATTTTGTAACACAGGTTTCTCCTTTCAAGTCTTGTGCCTTTTTTCAGCGCCCACAAAGTCAGCCGGTTGCTTGGGTGCAGGTGTTTGCAAGGAGGTTGACTTCACCGGTTACGAGTCGGCTGTGCTGTGGTGGCCAATTGTAGCTGAAGACCGGCTATGCCATGCGTAGGGAGTTGTGTAGCATGAGAACGTGCGTAGTGTTGCATGGGGCGGCACTGGGAGATGGTGTTGACGTGAAATGTTGAAATGCAGTTGGAAATCAACCAGTTTTCCTCTGTCAGAGGTTCCACACAAAAATCCATCATGTTCATGGGTTAGACTGCTTCTCACAGTCTTGGAAGTGATGCCCGAACGATGGTCTATATCACCTTCTCCGTCGTTATGCACAGCAGAAACAGGCAGAAGCATCTTGATTCTGCCAATGATGGTGACCACTTGAGGCAATGCCTTTTTGGCCCTGGCACCCTGAAAGGGCCAGGTCACCCCATTCGTAGGACCGAAGTACAAGGTGCATTGTACAACACGCCGATGTTGGTCGTACGCGATTGCAGTTTGGGTTCATAGTAAGGTTCCTAAGCGACCAAAGCTGGTTTTGGTTCATAGTTTTAGTTTGGGTTCATAACGTGTTATGACATGAGATCTTGTGAGCGACCAAGAGAGGCAGCTTGGGCAACCGTCAGAGGACCCGAGTGAGAGACAAGGCATGCCAGCAAAAGGGAAGACTGCAGCATTGGGCTTCCCATAGTTTCCCAGTCTCCATGCCCTTTGAAGACCACAGCATCAACGATGTTCCATCTATTTTTGGAGGAAAGTGACTCGCTTGTCTTCTCCAGACTTTGACCCGCCAAAAGGATCGCCAGGTGTCCTGAAGCCGCCAGTCACTCTGTGTCGGGTGAGATGTGGGTGACCAGAGCAGCTAGGAAACACGTGTTTCTTTTTCATGGACTTTGCAATCTTTGTGCAACTAAGACTGCAACCAGAGGACCATCCAATCTATGTGGGGATGTTTACTTCACTTGGCTGAGAATGGCACTTTTCGTTGACTCACGGCTGCTCTCACCATGTTGAGAGCTGAACTCAGCTAATGCGTTCAGCGGATGGTGTGGAAAAACTAGGCCCACCCGGGCCGACCTGTAGGACCTTCGTCCGGTTAGCCACGCCCAGGCACCAGTGGTTTCAGCTGCCCTTTACCTGGTAGCGGTGATGACTCCGATGCGACCGTGCACCTCGGTGCATGTTTTATTCGTTGAGGAGGTGCACCCTGAGGATTCGCAGCCAGGATTCTTCTCGCAGCCATGACTCCAGTTCTGCGAGGAGTCACAGGTATTGCGAGTTGAAAACCGACACTATTTGATCATCCAGAGGTGAATTTCAAAAGGGTGTGACTTGAACGGGACGACCACACGCGCCCTCCCACGCCCAGGGAGGTTTCGCAGCAATGGCCCACTGGCGAAGTGATCGTGCCCCGTTGCCTTCTGCCAGACTATTCCGCTGCTTGGAGAGAGCGCCCCCCGCCGATGTGAGACCGGACCTTTTGGGACCTCCAAGCTGGATCAGAGCGGAGTGACACAGGGTGACACAGGCTGCGTTGTTGTTGGCCCGAGGACCCTAGCCTTGCGCCGCAGATCCTGGATTTCTATCCCAAAGTCGGGGTCGCAGGCGTGGCGAGGTCAGCGTTGGTGTTGTCTCAACTTGGGAATGTTCTGGTGCTGTTTGCAGGTGAGACCGTGCTGGTCGAGATCATCGGTCGTCGATTTCCGCACATCCTCCCCGCGGACTCTTGGATGTCCAAGATGGCGAAAAAGATCGAACAAAGGAACATCAGAGACATGTGTCGAGGTGTTCCAAGGACGACCGACACGATAGGTACAACATGGTACAACCATGTACAACCCGCGCGTCCGGCGGATGGCCTGGAGTTTTGAGACCCAACGGTCTTCTTTGGGCAGCTGACTGGCCGATTCTCTCCATGTGACATCAAAAGACATGCACCTTGGGGGGCTCTCCGGGGGTCTTTGGAAGGTGTAGGAGGCCATAGATGCCACAATAGGGCTTGGCATGTTGACACGCGCGAGGGAAAAAAATATATCATTATAGGAGACTTTCACCCGGAAAACTCGGGTGACCGGGTGGCAACTCGGGTGACCGGGTCAATTCCAGATTTAGAAGCGATGGGGAGGCATGTGTGCCTTGGGCGTGATGTTGAAATTTAAATCATGTAGTTTATGCATGTTTATGCATGCTGTTTAATGTGCTTAATGTTTCATTGTTGAGTTTCCCAAATAAGTGATGTTGGACCCGGTGGCAATCCAAAAGCTTTGTGGGGGTTGAACGAACTTTCTCTCCTCTCATTTGCTATTAGTGCCCAAAACATCAGACTTGGAGCTCATGCCTCACGTACAAAGCACTTTTTGTTGGAACTTTAACTTCAACGACTGGAAGAATGATGTCCTCCCGGTGAAGACCTGTTCATGCTTGGGATGACCACAAAATCTTGTCCCTCGGGTGCGCGATGAGACGTGTTGGCCGGCCTCGATCCTCCCGACTCGCTATACTCCGCTGGAGTCGAAGACCCACCAAGGAGAACAAGTCCGTGGTGGAGTGCAACTTGGGAGGTGTCCCGGCTTATCAATGGAATTGTTCAATCAGAAATGGATGCGCGTCCAGTGATGGCAGGCGATCGTCATAAGTAGTACGTCCAGAAGCTGACCAGCTGGAATTGGGAGAAGAATTCAGTTCTTCAACGCATCATGCGGCAGTGTTTGAGACGAAGAACATCTCTCTCCTCAGTCGACAGGTTGGTAGGGCCTGGTAGGGACCGTTTTCGTGGGGCCATGTTCCTGTGACCTGCTTTTGCCACCTCATTCCAGAAGTCAAAGACTGCAAACGAAGACTGGCCCTGATTGGCCTGGGCATCAGTTTGGGTACCCTGTGACCATCTGGAGCCCCCTTGGCCAATTGGACATCGGCATCGAGGCGGGACCCGGTGCCGGTATACCGCCCGCGGGAGCCCAGGTGACGGATACCGCGCCCCAGCGGTGCTTTTGTCCGACAAGCGGGCACTGTGCAACCTCACCTCATCAGTGGCTGGCAGCAAGAAGCTGGGCCTAATCTTTGCTAATGTTCTGCAGGTGCGGAGAGCGTCACAGCTGGTGAGAGGGAGATAGTACCCTGTGCTAGAGACTTCACAAGAACTGGTTCACATCCACTGCGGTAACACTCAGCTGGGACTTGACTCGTTTACTGTGCTGCTTGCATTGAAGTGATGACACAGCCCAGCCAAACGGGATCAAGCGGGCCAGGCATTTGCCAAGAAGAAAATTACCTTTAGAAGAGCAGCTTGGCAAGTGCCGTTCCGTTCCAGTTGGAGATAGTTGGAGTGTGTTGCAAGAACCTTGGAATTTAGAGAGTCCTGACATGATCGGCCCTGGAGTCCTGACATGACCGGCCCGTATCGTACATGATGGTTGACACGGTTTATCCCACGGTTTTTGACGCCAACCTTCGGTGCCAAACTACGCCAAGGTTGCTGCGCCAACCTTGCAGGCTGAATGCAATGCAGATTGTTATGCCCATGGTGTTCATGTTCCATCATCACAGATCCCGTACATAATCCATCTAGATCTTGGCAACCGTATGCAAACAGTGCACATGCGCATGCACACCATAACTTCGAAAAATCCGACCGTATACGCTGCGTCGACCGCAGGTGACGACCATCTTAGCTGAGGACGTGTCCGAGGACCAACCGGCCTAACCTCCTGCACATGCGCATATATTTACCCTAGCCTTCCAAGACCTTTGAAAGGTTGATCTGTTGTTGTAGTGCAAATTCCTTAGTAAAACAATGGCTGTTTGGTTAAAAAAATGTCATCAATGGTTGTTGGAAGCATAGGGTTTACTGTCATATGTATATATATACTGTATATATAATATATATATATATATAAATATTGTGCGCGTACAGAGGCCCATACCTGCCATGGCGCTTTTTGAGGTGGGCAAAAGCGACATGTATAGTGACCATGTTCATCGAATTTCTGAGCCATCCGCACTATGCATTTATTCGGCTCACATCATTTTGTTGCAAGAGAAGCGCCTCCACGGCTCGCCTGTAGCCGCTCGTGTGGTCAGAAGCCGAAGCCTGTAGTCACGTAGTCTTTTCTTGCAGGAGTGCAAGGATACGCAGGCAACTTGCTTGCACTTCCTGACCGTCAAAATGATTCCTCGAGGACTCCTGACAAAAATGGCAGTGGGTCACTGGCCACTTGCAGCTCCAAACCCTCAACCAGGGTCACCCTGTTGTGACCCACTGCCAAATATACAAGAATAGCAACGCGCATGTATATAACCGTGAGATTGATTGTTTGCACATGGCTATTGCATGTTGCCATTGCCCATTCTTCGCTCAGAACTTCTGGAACACCGAGACTGCTAGGCGCTTGTCTTCAGGCCATAATTCCTTGATGGCTTCCATTTGCGAGTTGGATTTTTTGCAGGGAGCCTCACCCAGATCACCACCCAAAAATGCACAGATCTCCGTTTTGATGCTTTTGACAATGAGGTTTTCTGCCAGCCGCCTGCCCCGGAGCCTGCTCTCAGCGAAGTCCCCACGCAGCGCAGCTTCGACCCGCTGCTTGGTTCGACCCACAACAGAAGATGCTTTATTGAATGGATCCACGATCATCCGTAAGGGCACTATATCAAACGGTGAACTTGAACTTATGGAAACTCATAGGAAACTGCGCTGACTAATTAATGAAATATATATATATAGCTATATACAATTATTGATATATTAATAGATGTGGTGAGGCGCTCTCCTGCAGATTAAACATGGACCCTCAAACCCACTGGGTGGTAGGTGGTAGATGAGAACAGTCTAACAGGGGTTCGTTTCACAGTCCATGTTGTTGGTTTGCGGGGTGTCTTATTGCTGAGCAAGGAAGAACCAGTGCCCTTTTTCAACAGCACTGCTGGAACTACAGATGCATTAAAGCATAACCTGGTATAGTGCTGGCAACAGCTTTATTCACCGATCGTGGCAACCTTCTGGGGCAAAGCCTGGCAAAGCCTTGAAGCTCTGTCGGTTCAAATTGCTTTCAAGACATTGCAGGCAAGTGATTTCAACTCAGAGCAGCATTGACACCGTTGAGAACTTGTACTCCATTTGGGAGGCTGACGGCTCAGAGATTGTTGCAGTGGAAGAGGGTGTGCGATAAAGAATCTTGCGAAAACTGTGGTACAATTGGGAAGAAAATCGGAGACCTAGGACCTATCGTGTAGTCCGTTCGGTGTAGATACTGACCTATTCGTTCGTTGTCACTGGTGGTTCCTGACCTCTCGCGAATGGTCGGTCGACACGGTCCGACACGGTGGTTCGGTGCAGCTAAGGTGGTGTCAGTTGTGCCTGATGTTCTACCATTGAGTGATTCAGCAGCCTGGATGATCAAAATCGCCTCACCTGCTGAACATGCCCACCCAGCCAAGTAGGGTGTTTTTCCACCAGTCCGGCTAGGTGTTAACATCGACTGGCCACCGTCATTCTTGCTTGCACATGATGGGCATTAAGCCTGGGACTGGGAGTAAAGTTGATGCACTCTAGACGTCCTTTGTATTTACGCACCGGGCCGGATGTAGGCTAGTGGCTTGAGTGACTGATACAGGTAATGGCTTGAATTCTGGAGCTACTTCTATTTTCAACGTGTGCTAGGGAAAATGTGAAGGCCAGCAAGGTGAAGTGTCAAACCCATGACAGGAAACCTAGATCGATCACTCATGCATAAATGCGAGGATGCCCTGTCCTGCCCTGCCTCATTTGTCCAAGCTTTCTCAGCAATGCAAAGACCGGAGTTGGGCTGGCAGCTATATACACAGGGTGGTGACCAGCAGGCAATATTTTTGCAGTATGATAGCAATATACTGTTCATATATATATATATAGGCTTCAAAGGATGTATGTTCAAGGGCCAGCCATGGGAGTGCATGTTCAATTGCACGGAGTTGTAGAATGTTGTAGGTTGTGTTGGCATGGTGCGCACGTGGTTTCGAAGCTGAACCCAGTTGGTAACCCTGTATTCATGGGACTTCAGAACCACCCCATTTCGGTCGCCACGCCTCAGCCGAAGGCCGTTGCTTTTCCGTCACGTTGCCGAGGCTTATGTGATTACCTTTTCTGTTCCGCCTGAGAACGGTTTGGCCTGCCGACTTTATCCCGATGGCGAGCAGGATGCTCGCCTGGAATGCGAATCGATGTTGAACCATATATATATATATTATCATATATATGACATATATATGTTTGCAGCATGCCCTTGCCTTCTCAAAAAAGCACTCAGGTTCTGAAGTTCTTTAGAAAGATTGCACCAAAACATGCCGGAACGGTGCCTGGTGTTTTGATGTGACCCGAGAGGGAAACAAATGATGAATGCATTGAATGATCCGAGCGTGTTACATTCATTGCAGCGTCAGATGGCCATCAGGATGTTATTGGTTTGCGTCCTTTGGACTTTTTTCGGCTTGAAGTATCTCCGTTGCTTTCCATTTTGCACCTGACACAGCTTTCTGTGACAGCGCGTCCTCCCCAAACAGGAACAACCACTCCTCCAACTGACCCTTCTGCCTACATGGAAGGACCCTTGGTGAGAAAGGAAAAGACTTGAAAACAACCCACTCCTTGGAACCCTCCCCAACTCCGGCACGGAAAAGGCACGTTCTTGGCCCAACTGCCCCGGGTTTCCCCAAAATCAGTGCATGTCCGCGCCCGTTCAACTCACGAGGTCTTTGCTTCCCAGTTGACCAATACAAGCATCATGTGTCGCACAGCGATCGGCGCGCCGGGCTCCTATTCCCTTCAAGTGGCCGAGGCCCGAGATGCGCCGTTCGTTCGGTCGAACACGTTCGGAGCGGTCGGAGAAATCGAACAGGAGCGAAAAACGGCACCCAGGTTCGTATGGTTCGTTGCGGCAGACGAAGAGAGGCCCTCACACTCAAATAGCTTGAAAATCCGGTGTGATTCGTTGAAGTGATGCACCAGATGCAGCTGCACATCCCAAAAAATCCACTAAATCCATGAGACTAAGTGGTAGACTGGATCAGCCCGGGTTTCAATGATATCAACTAAATCTGCTCTCAATACTTTCGGGTTTTCCGCGTTGCGACGACCGGACGGGCCAGGCACCCGATTTCCACTTCCTGACCCTACCACTCATGATCGAGGCCCGGTGAGTCCTAGAATGGGCTTCAGATGGTATTAGGGAACAACAGGAAATCCATAGTTAGTGAAAACCATGGTTTCTAGATGTTTCTGGTTAAATGATGTTAAATGTTCCATTGAAAGCTATACTTGTTAATTTTAACTCGGTTTTGACACCACTTAAGGTACATCTGCACTGAGGTCTTTGAGCAGCCGCAGATCTTGCACCTGTCACCTGCACAGGTTTATCCCGGCCAAGGCCTGGTGAACGTTAGGTGTTTTCCGGGGCGCCTGGGTTGATGAGAATTCAATTGGGACACCGTTGTCAAAGGAGCTTCGTTGAACACACACACAATCACACACATATATACACACTGTAATATATACTATATATAATATAGTATGTTGTAAAGTTATAATCATGTATTCGTATCAAGTGTGCAATGGCCGCTAAGGTGATTGGGTTTGATTTGACACATTTGAGTTGAACGCTCAAAGCAACATAATACGCTGGGACAGGCTGGACCTTATTCCTTCTCGCCACCCAGTTCCCTGAGCAGCGCATGGCAGTGGCCAGCTTTCGCTGCAAGGCTTGACTCACTGCCATTCACTGCCTGTCATGTGCAGCAACCAATTATCAGCGCCCGTTTGGCGTGCTTTCTTTGACCAGGGAGCGGTGATGGAAGATGGTCGAGCAATTCAAACAATTTCCCTCCATTGCAATTAGTGCCATTGCTGTAATGCTTTCGGAAATTCCCCGACAGCAGCAAGCAACTAGAAGCTCTGAAGAATTTGCGAGGTGGGCAGCCAGCTGGTGGTGGGCGAGGTCAGGTGGGTCACTGGCAGATGCGGGACGGAGATGTGGAAGATGCATTCACTCAAGAAGTAAGTCAGTAAAACTCCTGAGGTCTATGGCACCAAGGCTTCCGGATGAGCTTGAGTATCCCTGATATCATCCCTCAGGAAAAGGACCAATGACGGTTGATGTTGTAGGAATGTCTTGGGACAATGACAAGTTCAAGTTCAACTAGGCACTGTCAGAAGAAGTCACAGTGCAGTAGATGCTACTGCAACAACAACAACTACAACTACTACTGCTGCTGCTGCTACTGCTGCTGCTGCTCCTGCTGCTGCTGCTGCTACTGCTGCTACTACTACTGCTACTACGACGGCGACTACTACTACTATATACAACAACAACAACAACTACTACTACTACTACTACGACGACGACTACTACTACTACTACCTTACTACTACCTTACTACTACCTTACTACTACTTTACTACTACTTTACTACTACCTTACTACTAGCTACTACTACTTTACTGCTATACCTTACTACTACCTTACTACCACCTTAATACTACCATACTTCTACCGTACTACTACCTTACTACTACCTTACTACTACCTTACTACTACCTTACTTCTACCGTACTACTACCTTACTACTACCTTACTACTACCATACTCCTACCTTACTGCTACCTTACTACTACCTTACTACTACCTTACTACACCTTACTACTAACTTACTACTACCCTACTACTACCCTACTACTACTACTACTACTACTACTACCACCTACTAACTACTAACGACAAACTACTAACTACTAACTACTACCTACTTACTACTTACTACTAACTACTAACTACTAACTACTACTACTGCTACGACTACTACTCCTCCTACTACTACTACTACTACTCTACGACTACTACTACGACTACTGCTACTACTACTACTACCACCACTACAACCCCTGCCGCTGCCATACTACTCACTTTATCAACTTTATTCTTTGCTTCTCACCAACTTCCTACTTCTCCAGGGCCTAACCACCGTTCGGACATTGCTTTCGCCACGGACTCGGTCTGGAGACTCAGGTGTCGACCAGCCGTGTGGCTTCTTGTACACTTTCGGCGGCAGATGTGCCTTGGTTGTTGCTGGTTCGGCTTCGCAGCGACGGAAAAAATTGCAATGCTTGGGACATTCAGCAGCCGAGGAAATCCAAGGAAATTTTAACCACATGCTGCATGCTTTGATTTTGAACCAGTGGATGGTTTTTTACATTTGCTTACAAACAATAAGAAGAGATACGATAACAAACTGTAGAAAGCGAGCATGGACTTGTCTAGGTGGAGGCCATTGGCCCTGGAGACCATGCGGTGGAGGTCCTGGTGGATGGACTCCACGAGAGTCGTTCAGAGCCGCGGGTGATGCTCAAGGTGTTTCCAGAGCCTGGGCAGTCACGAAGAATCGCACTAGGTTGGAGTCTACCGCTCTCCATCGCTCTCAGGGGGGAGGCCATGGGACAGATGGGGCTCGTCCAAGCGTGTGTTCACGACGAGTCCACATAGCGAACGACCGACACCAGGTAGGTACATCAGGGGGTCTCTTGGTTTGAGCCACAACCATTTGGGACTTTGGTGCGACTGGGGGTATCTTCTGGATCCAAACTGCAAACTGATTCGGTGTCGTACTGGTTATTCATATTTCAACTCATGTGTTCATCAATGTTCATACACTATATGTCACATGTGTTTTATTTAATCTGGGAAGATTACCCGATTTGGTATGCTTGCGATGATTGTCAATCAGATGTATTTTGCTCGTATTCTGTGCAGGGTCAGAATTTTGTCTTGGGAATCTTCCCTTCAATGGGTTTGAGACTCGGGACATTCTTGTGGCAGTGATATTTGATGGTGGGAGACTTGGGCGTTTGTACATTAAAACTGACCTATTCCACCATGGTCGCTTAGACCATGGTGGGAGATGTTCAAGTACCTCCCAAGCTTCTGAAGGATGCTCTTGAGTCGGGCACCAAACCCCGCGAAAGGCCAGTTTGGGCGGCCAAGGAAATGGCACAAGTGGATACCTTGCAGCTTGGTGGCCATGGTACACCCTTTTCAAGCGGAGCCGGGTGCGAATGCCTTATTTTCTCCTTGAACGTGCTATCAATTAATGATTCTATTTTGTTAAAGACTACATAACTAGGGCCAAGGCTAGCTCACTTCAAACATTACTTTCCATTGGGCTGCTATGATACTTCCTTACCTTCCTTACTTGTGCAATTTGTTGATAATTACACTTTACCTTGGGCTCCTCCTTGGACTTTGCAAATGTGCTGCCAGAGGATCAAGCTCAGACACATTTGTGGCGAGTGCCCTTCATGAAACTATGGACACAAATACAAGAGGTCGAGATTCCTGGTTTCCACACAAAACCAAGCTCACAAATAGAAGCAAGAAACAAAGAAGGTGGAGAAAGTACATGACAAAACGAAGACGTGAAAGGCAAATCAAGACGGTTGCATCTCAAAGCAATGACCACAACAATCTATATACAGACTCTGTTGGGGACCACCACTCCAGCCCAAGACCTCTTATTTGAAATTGTAGTTGTTTTCGTGTGTGTGTGTGTATGTGTTTTTGGCGCTTTGACTTTCAAGAATTGTCACTTTAAACTTGTTAGCGGCCCAGGAACCTCGACCTATTGTGTTTTCCTCATGGTCTTGTCCTGTACATATTACTGTATATCATATTGTTGATAATTACCTAGCAGCAGGATTTGCTATGCTATGGTAGTCCTTTTTGTGACTATAGTTTGTGTTCTGAGCAGATTCTGGATTTGTTTGCTGGCGCATCGGCGCATCAGTTGATCCTCCTTTGATTCCTGAGTTTTTTTGGCTCGGGCTCTTTTGGCTACTCCTGTTGTCTATGACTCTGACACCACTCGATCCTTGAAGTATACTTCCAAACTTGTTATATGGCCCAACAAATTTTAATCAATTTGTCCCGTTCATTAGTTCCTTTGCCCTTCCTTGTTCTTTTTATATTGAGTCCTTCCTGTGCTAAAAAGGTTTTCCTCAGCCCTTGTTGTCCTGTTTCTATGTTTCTTGAATTGTTGACCTTGCCATGTTTGATAGTTCTGATTCTCAAGGGGCTTTTCTCTTGGTCAAGTGTTTCTTGTTGGGCTTGATTTTGCCTTTCTATCTTGTTTCATGACCTGGGTGGACCCAGATCTTGCCACATACCTGAATTGCCAACCAACAGTAGACTGCCACAGCTCGAAGTGGACTGCCGAACGCATCTCCCCAGGTCCAGCGATTCCATGTCGGCCCTCCCCCGTGGTGACCGATTGCTGGTCACGGGACGCCGGCTTCCACAAGATGGGGGATGCATTCTAGGCGCATCGAAGCGTGGAATGCTTTCCAATGGTGGCCTTCTTGGCCAAGTCTTCCGGTTTTGGTTACATAGTTGCTCCATAGCTTCAAAGAACTTGTGGCAAGCAAGGGTTCAACAGAGGTAGCCATCCACATCCCGCATTCTTTTTGGCTTTTCATATTTGGGATGTTGATGGAAGTCTCGTGGCGAAGCTTGCGCCCACCAGGCGAAGACATTCCTGAAGAAGGCGTCACTGCTGCCTATGCTGCGGCAACCTTTCACAACGACACCATGATCTCTTGCACCATCCCGCAGGATGCCGCTGTGAGTCCTTCCAGTTCCATGTCATCCACAATTACTGCTTGACGCGGGGAACGGAGGACGTGCTCCTCTTCCTGCATATTTCCAAGTCAGCCTGTTGTTTGGTTGCCTTGAAAGACTACCCCCTGGCATGACATCATACCCGCTTGACCACGCTACATCACGCTGCCTATGGGGGCGTGGGATTGAGGCTCGATGTAACGATATCTAACGAGAGATGGCAAAGGGGCATTTTTTGACAGCTATATGACAAAAGTGAACCATACCCTATGAACCAAAGTACTCATTGAACTTTTTCATAACAAATTCATTCACATGAACGCTACATTGGTCTCCCGGGTTCGCAGGGATACATGATGGATCAACGTGTTTCGACCAAACCTGTTCTTTCGTCCAGGAGGCGATGTTGGGAACCTTACGCTTTCGCCTTTCAATTGCTGGGCAGCCGCTCCTGGTGTTGCCCGGTATCGTTTTGATGGGCTGATGCAAGAGCGGACGAGAGTGTTCCTTGCTGCGCTAAGACTCCATGGAGAGCCCCCCCCCACCAAGGAGTCGGACTGGTTGGAGGTCAAGAGCCGTTGGAGAGCATCCAGCATCCGATGTTGGGACCGAAAGCTGAGGCAAACCACGTCGAAGATGTCTCTCATCGTCTCCGACCGACCGTTGCAACAGGAGCGTTTGGACCACCGGCGTACCGACCCGTCGGGGTCTTCGCAGAATGTGAGGTTCAAAGTGGAAGACTTGATACGGTGATTGATGTGTCTATAGAATGCCTGGCCAACCCCCCCCCTGCCATTGTTCACCGGGTATGAAGATTGATCGATATCTGCATGATGCTGAGAAATAGCGGGAAGAGCAGCTCCGAGGAACAGCAGCAAGGCATGTTCAGAAAGATGGCCATCCAACCCGGTGAAGACTTCGTGGAACATCCCATCGTTGCAGGACATCCCATCTGACACTGCTTGTGCTGGGGGCACGTGCCGACTTTCCTGGCGGTATTTGCCAGAGGCACAGTACTTCAGGCCTGGTTCCGATCAGTGGGCCCACATGTTGTGGGCGGAGCAACATTTGTAGTATAGCGTCACGAAAAGTTCATACAAGTTCTAAGAAGCTTGGGTAACGCATATCAGATGCACGAAGAATCAGTGGGAGGTTTGAAAAAAAATGTGTTCTTTTCATGAAAAGACACTGACGCATCCTCAGTGTCTATACGCGGTTTTGGTCATTTCTCACTCCAGGATGACAGGACTCCTGGGACATCCTGAGAACTATGCGCAGCAGGGATGCTCAGAGGTCCCGGAGAAATTACGTCCCCGTAAAGGGGAGGGGCCGGAGGGCGGGGGGAAAACATGTTTAAAACGTTACTTCAAAGAAGGTTTGGTTTGTTTTGTTGTTTGTTGTTTGGTTGTTTTTTTGGGTATGGAATGGATGAGGTGATGATGTATTGACTGTTATGATTTCAAAAGGGATGAGGTAATAGATGGTTAGTAGTTATGATTTTTGAGGAATGAATGAGGTAATAGATGGTTAGTAGATGTTAGTAGTGATGATTTTGTGGATTGAATGAGATAGTATATTATGTATTCACTGTAATGATTTTGAAAAATGAATGAGGTACCAGATGGTTAGTAGTTATGATTTTGACAAATGAATGAGGTTATATGTGGTAGTTTGTTGTGTTTTTTTGTGATTTTTTTTTGAATTGTTATACTGCTATAATTTGAGTTCTTTGAAGTAACGTTTTTAACATTTGGGGGACCTCCTGCAATACCAGTTTTTAGTTTACTAGCGATGGCCTCCAACCTAAGAGCGATGGCCTCCTTTTGGTACATATACTGGTAGTAGTTTTCTCCGACTTTGACTTGAACCATGCAACCCGTGACTTCAAGCCCAACCGTGCTGCGATTCAGAGACCTGAGGCGTCTTCCCTCCATCCTGCTCGACCTTCGCTCAGTCTATTTCGCCCCAAGGGAGGCCTTTGCGGAGTCGGTGCCTTTGCGTTTCGGTGGAGAAGGCACGCGAGAGAAGTCGAAGGAGTTGATATCGGGCAGTCGAAAAGACCACTCAATTCAGCAAGTGGTCTTTCTGGAAGAAAGGAAGAAATAGTATGCGGTATACATATAAAGATCTCAGGGCATAAGAAGAACGATAAATAAGGTCCCCATGGAGTTGCTGTGGAACTTATTGTTGTTTTCCAAGGTGAAGGTACTAGAGGAGCCACTTGCAGCCCCCAAGTGAATTTTCCTGCGATGAATTCATTTTGGCCTTGAGCGTTGCGTTCTCAAAGAAAGGGCCACATGGGGCCGGACAATTGAACCCTGGACCTGGTTTGGCCCGTAGTCTACATGGCTACCCTAAGATGGACATGAAAGCAAGCAACAGGGAAATGAATTTTGGCGCTGTGAACGTGTGAGAATATTAACTTGCACCTTGAAATTGCCTGGCAATGAAAAGAGGCGGGCTTCATCAAAGTAATGAAAGCAAATCAAACGTCGAGCCACGTCACCAGCCACGCACGTCTGCGAGCCGTCCGGTCCACCTGGTCCGGCCCCAGAAATGACCGCTTTCTCGGTCCATCCGGACGAGACGAGACGGTAGAGGATGGTGCACAAGGAAGACGAACAGGAGATGCTGACCTACGGGATCACCCGGGTGGTGACTAACATGGAACCTGATGGCATGGATTCTTGGGGGGGACGATGTTCCTTTACAACCCAGTGGTTTTCAGGTTCCATGTCAATTTTCCAGGGTGTAATACTCTAACAAGATGCGAACATGAACACACGGAGATGACCAGAGATGTGCGATCCAGGTGGCAAATCGCAGCGCATTCCGGGAGCCAAGTGGTTGGCCCATTGGATGTTCTCAATGATTGGTGTTGCACATTGCGAGGGGTATGATTGCCATGCAAATCGACAAAGTTCAATTGTTTGCTTTGTCAACCCCGCAAAACGATACAGTAACAGTAACCCTACAAATAAAGAGACTTCTTCGGAGTCTACAAGTCGTTGTCGTCATTGTCGTTGGTAGAAATTGAATTGTCGGTTGTTGCAGTCGTTGTCGTCGTCGTTGTCGTCTTACCGTGTCAAACATCTGCCTCAAAGAGGCCCATGGACTGTGCATGGACTGCGCGTCTGCACAAAGAAGGGGGGCACGGACTGAGCGTCCGTTTTTTCGGTTTTCATGCGAAGAAAACGGTGCGCGTACCGTACCGCAGGTCTTTTGGACTATGCCCGATTATTCCCTGCCAGCTTCTCCTGTCAGATTGAGCAAGTGCGCGTGCCGGCGCAATTCGCAGCGACCTCAGGGGAAGACTGAGTCCAATTGCAACCTCGGTCCGGTTTTTCAGTTTGTTGAAAAGATTACTTCTGAAGAGCTTGGTGAACATTATGAGCATGGCAATACTTCAATCAAGAAGGGGGCTTCAATGAAGGACCAAGGTGCGCTTTTTTGGCGCTTTGCTTGGTCAACAATTCCGGCTGAACCTTTAAGGTGAGGGAAGACCGATGGCCCTTCTTATGCGATGTCGACTTGAGCTCGCTCAAGGGGTTGGAGGCGAGCAGTGAACGCGACGCGACGGTATCGCAGGTCTACATCGACCTGGTCTTTGGCGGTGTTTCTGGTAATTCCAGGTGATTGCTTCACAATCTTCAATACATGGTAAATATATCGTTGATAGGGGGTTGCTGCCAGGTTTATCGAATAAACCTAAACTATTGAAGTCACAATTCGTTTGGCCTTTTTTTATGGCCTACACAGGCCATGCGCTGCTTTTTCTGCCATGCCATGCCGGCGATCTTCGCGTCGGCTTGGACGGGTGCAGCGACTCGGTGTTAGGTACGAGCTCAGCTGGTCTTCACCAATGCCGGGATTGATGAGAACATTGGACCGGCCTTCAATTTGTGGCCCAGCTCAGGGAGAACATGTCACCTATCAAAACCTGTCCAAACATGTGGCTTAAAGTTTCTTAAAGGAGGCTGGACATCATTTTTGAGCATGCTACTGTAGTCTTGGTAGTAAATGGATAACCTCAAGAACGATAGGGTCGGGAACATATTTTGATTTGTTATATACATTATCCTGGTTCTGATATATATTATATATACTGTACATATACGTTTGTTGCACCTTATTGTTGAGAAAGGTAAAGTCTGAGTCTGATATATGCTTTGACAAAAATATATCCTTCGCGCTCCCTTAGATGTTGCCTTCCTGTTTTGTGTTGCCTCAAAATGGCGGGTTTTTTAGCGGAACTTGCAGGATGGCAAGCGATACTTAAACGATACCATTCTGATCAATACTTGAGCATTTTTAGGCCCACAAGGCCAGAAGTCCACATGTGTTCCACACATGGGCCTCAGTGGCAAGGAAAATAGAACATAGAACGCTTTGTGTGACATGTGGGGCTCTGTCAATCAATGAAAAGAAGAAGCGGCCACTGTGGGTGCGCAGCTATGGCTGATTCCCAAAATCACGCAAGCCTTCAAAAACGATAAGGTCGGCAGCAAAAAACGATACCCCCCCCCTTTGATGTCCTTGACCGCATGTAAGAGGTTTAGATGGCCGCACAGGGAGGGTAGGGGGCGCATAGGGATGCCTTTTCGGGGGCCCTTCTGCCCCAGGGAGCAGGAAGAGATTTGTCACTCTTTCATGGATTACTTATATATATATATTATATATATATATATCCCTCTGCTTAGATGGCACATCTCCATCTGGCGGGAGGGGTGATTGTCCAATAGTCACGACCATTTTTGCCTCTCGAGGCGCTTGCTTTTACGGCCTCGGGTCCTTGAAGTCTCGCCCACTCAAGCTGTGCTGGGCCTGGCAACGCCCTTGGCATTGCACCTGGCGGTGGCCCCTCCGAAGGGTGCCTTGCTGCGATGCCACTTTGGGAGGCGAGTTCGTGCGCCGCAGGGTGCCGTTGTTCTTTCAACAAGCAAATTCGAAGAGGACACGGTGATGAATGTGACACTGCATCTTTGTTCAGTCATGTTCAGTCGTACCGTCGTACTGGGCCAAGGGCTTTTGCATTTGTTCTTTTTGTTACAGGGGGAAGGCATTGACACGTTTCTACACTCAGAATGTAGAGCACTTAGACTACACGTCAATTTTTGCACTTGCCACGTTTGGCCCAAACAGGTTGGGTTCCTCTCCCGCCTTTGCAGTGGGCCGCTCAGTCCACTGTCGCTCGCCAACGGTGGATGCGGTGGCACGTGTGGAGCTTCAACTGCAGGTGGCTTTGGAGCAAACTGAGGCACCTCGTTTGCATGACTTGGATTTTGGGAGCAAAGCATGCGAAGACATGGCTAGATTGCCAAAGATGTTTTGGAATCAACCATCAATCCAATGGGGCAATGTTCAGTAGTAGTGATTCTGTGAATTCTGTGGATGAATGAGTATGAATGAACTCAGGCACCTCAAATTGGGTCCTTTTCAACTCTCACATGAACGAGACAAACAAGAGATGACGATGGCAGATGACACAAGAGACAACTCCTTGGTGCCTTCATTTGATTACCCATTATGTTTGGGAACCCCTTTTTTGGTGGATTTTTTCCAATGAGTTTTTAGATTATTTTTTCCAGGTTCTGTTGCCGAGGAAGGAAGGGAGGGAGGGAGGAAGGAAGGAAGGAAGAAAGCAAGCAAGCAAGGAAGCAAGCAAGCAAGCGAGGAAGGGAGGAAGGGAGGAAGGAGCAATGTGTCAGTGCCAGGCACTATACTTCTTTTTTTTTGCGGGGGAGGTGCTGCGCCCTCCCCCGCACCTCCTCCCGCTTGTTTAAATTTAAGCAGGTCACTCAAAGAAAAACCAGCAAACCAGTTTGCAAGCGACTGGCCTGCAAAGCATTTGACCCTCAAACACTTTACAGAAAAAAGGACCTGGACACAAACAACTCTTGGTGATTGGTTTTTCAGCGCGTGCTTTTTGCTGCCGGTATTGCTACAGCGCATCACGACAGCCAAGAAAACAACCAAGCGCATACTGTACATACATACATACATACACACATACATAGATGCATACATACCATACCATACCATACCACACGTTACATTACATTACATTGCATTGCATTACATACATCCTTTCATTACATTACATTACATTACGTTACATGCAGACATACAGACAGACAGGCAGACAGTCATGTATGTCAAGAGTGATGGGGATGGATCTGACGGTTTTTCTTTTTTAACTATATTTTACAATTTTATATATACTTTGTTTTACTCGTTCTTATTTGTTTTTACGTTTTGTTACTCTTTTTTTTATGTTTTTCTATTGTTTACTTTTTAAAGGTATTTTTTGACCTAGCGTAGCTATTCACCAAATTCAGGTATTGTTTTAAAAATTTGATTCTCACTTGCTGCATCATCATAACCACTTCCCTGAATGTTTCCCAATCCTTGGTCCACCTGCCAAACATAAAAGGCGTAAAAAAGTGTAAAAAAAGGTAAAAGAGGAACACCGTCAGACCTCAGCCTCCCCTTGTGATTAGTTGTGGGAACAGTATTCCTCCTCCAAATCACCCCTAGAGACCCTGGACTGGTACACTAAGCGCACGATGCGCGTGCAACAAGTTAACATGTCTTTCAAACTCCCCTACTAATATAAACCAAACTTTAAAAGCTTAAAAAAAGGAACACCATCACATCAAGCGCGTCACAAAGCCACCCGTGAGACAGACAGACAGACAGACAGACATACATGCATAGACAAACTTACGTATACATACACGTACATAGATATACAATGCATGCATGGACATACATTTATATATTTCAGACTTACCGGTAAGCGCTACCATTCTCACATGGCTGGTGTATACTGTATTGTGACCTGCAAGACTGCAGCGGGAAGAGCCTTCTCCTTCTCTTGTTCCTTCTCCTCTCTCCTCTGTCTCCTTCTCTTCCTCCCTTTTTTCCTCCTTTTCCTTTTTCTCCTTCTCCTACTCTTCTGTTCCTTACCTCCTATGCTAGTTTTTTTATCCTTTTCCTTTTTCTCCTCCTCCTACTCTTCTTTCCCTTGCCTCCTGTGGCAACCCCTGACCACAAACAGTGCGGAAAAAAAAAAACGAAAAAAAAGCTCGCCCTTATGTTTGACTCATATTTGGAGGGTTTTAAAGCACCACCCAGACGAGGCTGGCAATGCGGTCATACGAAAACATGCAGACGACCGTGTCTCTCCGACAGCTAAGGTGAACCTCACCCAGAGGCCTGGCCAAACATGGGAGATCCATGGGACGGAGCATTATGAACATTGCATGAGAGAATGAGATAGAGGGATGCTGATGTACTTGGAACACTGGATGGCTGAACTGAGCACTTTCATGCTTTCTCACCATGATGAGAAAGAACGGAAGACATCCGAAGACTGGAAGCGCTGAACTCGGTCACTGCAATTGGGACCCAAATGGTTTGATTTGGATCCTGACTTTGAACCTTGTCATGCAGTCGTGAACGATCTAGATGTGTCATCTCACAGACCATGTAACGACACGGATATCGCAGGACATCGCAGGGGACTTTTTGGTACAACTATGCAGTTTCAGTGCCCTAGGTCTAGTTGCCCGGAATATATACCTAGAACCCATTTGACCTCTGCTTTGATAGGAAAAGAAACCATGTTTTGGCTCCAATTCAGGGGTCAATCAGGTTCTTACAGTAAGTATATACATATCAACCCAGTGATCAACCCGAAGAATCCGAACACCCCGCATGTCCCGCGCCAGGATTTGGGTCACGGCGCAAGAGGACTTTCGCTTCGAAGTGCCACCTGAGCGCCCAGTGACTCAGCCGTGATGGATCCGGATCCCCAGTGAGAGAAGACCACCGAGCAACGAGTGGTCTTTCGGTGTATGGCAGATTCACCAGCCATTGTTTTATATTGTTAACCTGAACCTTATAGATTCTAGTCTATGTGTTTCAAGAATCTGGGTTCCAAGATTGTGCCGATGGATTTCTTTGGCATTTGAGAATTTTGATTTGTCATGGCCGTTTTAGAGAAGCAGAAGCAGCACCTGTCAAGCCATGAGTGCATTTCCATGCATTTCCTTCAACAAATCGACGGCACAAAGGCACAAACCCAAAGATGTCTTTTATATTGGGGTCCATTATTAAAAAAACACACTAAACGTGAACATGTGTGCAATCTACTCTGAAAGCACTGTGGTTGGTTGTAGGTGGCTTCCGATACATTCATAAAACATACATTCTTAGCGGGGATCTACTTTTCTATGCTTTTCGATCTATTTGGGGGTGAGCAGCTGAGGTTCTAGCGGTGATGCCACCTTTCACTGCGCCCGTGGGGGCCGCCCTGTTCTTGGAGCCTTGGCACAGCCCACAGCGTTGGGGAGGAGTAGTTTGAGAATGCCTATGGCCTATGGTCCTTAATGAGAGCTCACAGGTTAGTAGATTACATTTGTATGTGTATATAAGATGTTACCAGAGTAGGCTTTTTATTACCGCTTGGATTGCAAGGAATGGAAAAGCCATTCGCCTATCTTCGAGGCGGGAACTGAAGGAGCCAACTAGCCGCAACCCATTGCTTCTTTTTTAAATGAATCCTTGAGAGTTCAGAGTTAGGCTGTAAGGTACATCATAAAACTAAGAGCTCGAGAGATGTGTTTAACAGATTCTAAAAGTGTTACCACTTGCGTTGCTGCAGTTCTGGCTTTCGAGATCCCTTGCAGCTGGACCTAACAATCTCACGCCTTTGAATCATACTCCACCTCACATCTGCTTCCTCAGAAGCAGATGTGCAGACTTTGCTGGCTTCTCTTCTTCATCTTGTTTGGTAACCTCACATCTGCGAGTTCACACTGGTGACCGGTCGACCCCGGGAGGACCCCCGGGTCGCCCTGGCGACCTCTCCACAGGTCTTGGGACGGATCCCCTACCGCTGCTCCTGGCGACAGACGGAGATCGGCGAGCTGAGCACCCCGTTGCTGGCGCTGACACCTGAGCTGGGCCACTGTCGAGTGCCCTTGGTGCCTTGTTTTGCCTTGGATCGTTGGATCTTGGGACGTCGATTGGGATTTGGGATTTTCACATGATGCGGTAGAGTTAGTGGCAAAAACCATGGATGTTGAACCGTTGAATCCCCCCGACTTCGATGGATGTGGATAGGGTGGGGTTCCCTTCAATTGCTTCGAATCCATTTCGGCTTCCGCTCGCACCCCGATGCTCCTTCGCCCGGTCAGGTCCCCCCGACCTCTCCACAGAGAGCGAGGGAGCTGGTCACAAAGAGTGCCCTGTCTGGAGACCTGTAAGTAGGGTAGGGTAGCCTATTGGACACCATGGTTTCATGATGGTGTCTATCCTGAGAAGTTGATATGATGGTTTCATACCTGACCCACGTACAGCCCAAGTTCCAGCCAGAGAAGATCTGTAAATCTTCGCGTGGTGAAACGGGAAAGTCTTCCAAAGAGTCACCCATGCGAAGGGGTGGCTTTCGGGCCATCACACACAGGCTCCAGCAGTTCCAAACGGGTGTGTTGTTTGTTCCTTTTTTGGAATGAATTGAATGGCCCCTATCCTCCAATCGGCACCCGAGCTCCTGGGTGTGTGGTTGTCCGTCGTGGAGGCCTCCACGCCACATGCCACAGCTGTACGTTTGGAAGATCCCAGTGGACAGGCCACGGGCGAAGAACGAGGTGTCCTGCGTTTTTCCCCTTCACCAGGGGCCAGAGTATCCAGAGGCTTTGATGCCTCTGGCAGACTGTCAGACAATCAGTCATGCTCACCAGCTCACACTTTACAAAGATACCCTTTGCAGAATAGATCTGGAGGTGCCAATGTTCCACCTCGGGTCAGTGTTTGCGACGAGGCACTTTTTGATCGGAAAAATACATAAAACATCCAAGTGTTCCGAGTCCGACTAACACTTCCTTGGACCTGCATGGAGACTCAAAAAGTCGGGTCACCTGGTTCTTGGATTTCTTCGTATCCATGCTCTCCTCAGGTGGTCATGTCTGACAACTTTTTTCGGTATAAATATCGGCATCATATCATGGAATAGCGACAGATCCCATCTTTACAAAAGAGCACTGACTACATGACCAAATCCCTGCAGGTGGTCATGGATGCTCCCCTCTTCCGCTATTTCTCACCTCTTCGTGGCTCCTGGTGGCTGCCGGGTGGTGCAATACGGCCTGGGCAGATCTTACGATTCCAGACCAATGAGGACGGGACATGCTCCGAGCACATCACATGGGAATACATGGGAGGTGTCCATTTTCAGGATTTTCTCAAGCGTCGGGGCTTGCCTTCAAGTCAGGTACTGAGGTGTTTCCCCTGTCATCCAACCTAATAGCGATGGTCTCCAACCTAACAGCGATGGCCTCCAACCTAATAGCGATGGCTTCCAACCTACTAGCGATGGCCTCCAATTCTATACATTTATAGAGCTTTGCAGCTGAGAATGGTTTGCTTAGTGTTTGGTCCTTTGTTACTTGTTACGACTTGGAGGAGACAGGTTCATGACGTCACTTTAAGCATCACCTTGAGAGTCGGTGGCCCGGTCAAACACCAACCCTGGCCACCCGACTCGGCTCGATTCCAGGAGGCCTATCCAGCAATGGCCTACGGGCAGCCACAGTGACATAGATGTGTTCAATGTGTGAAAATTGTTCGTTGAATGGTGGGGTACAACTTGTGGTCACAGAAGCCAAAGCTGGAAGTGGAGTGGGTGGTGGAGTGGTGCTGTTGCTGAAGATTGGAGCTGGCAATCGGTCCGACCATGGTCCAAGAGGATTGGGGCCTTGTTTGCTTGCTTGCTTGCTTGCTTATTCCTGTGATTGTTGGTCCATGTTGCTGAGGCCTGGTGTCGTTATCCATTGCCAGTTTGGACATGTCAGGCTGGTCCAGATAGTTTCATCCACAGCAGTCAGTGAGGAACTGATGTTTGTTTCCTTAGCCTTAGCGGACGCTGCACCAGATCGCTTTTTTGCACAGACCTTGATGATCATATGTGATAATGACTTGGATGATGGCGACCACCCCTGAGAAACAGATCCGCTGTCCACTTATAAGGACTTTAACTCACCTCCTGCTGGCAGGAAGGAACCTCGAAAGATGGACGTGAATGGGGTCGAGTGTGAAATCCCATCCATCGCACCTGGAAACTACTTGCTTTCCCTTCTCTATGATGAGAAGCTGGATCCATATTCAGAAGGGTTCTGTGGCAGTTGAGGTTGAACACTTGAAAAAGACCCGAACTTGGTTGTTGCATGGCTGAAACTTCCTGGTAGGTCTTTGAAGTCTTTCAAAGTCGATCGTGGGAGAAGGGAATGGAGGATGCATGTTTGTTGGAACACCGGGCCTTTGCGGCTAAGAACCAGTAACTCATTCTAACATATTCTAACCAGCTGTGGCGACTGGTTGGCCATGTTGGCCAGCGTGCCAACATGCAAAGGACTTGAGTCTGACAGGGTCCGACTTCTGTGTCGCTCACTTCTTCGGATTGAGGAAACATATTCTGAATTCCGTCCCCATGCAGCTCGTGCCTTGGCCACAGACGAGTGTGGCATAGCACTGGTTGCTGGCTTTTAGACGCAACGACCCCACTCGCGACACACGCTACGGTTGACAAGTGTGGCATATCTGAACTAAGGACCCACCCAAATATGCAAGTGCAACTGGCGCTCCAAACCTCTCTTCAGAGGAGATCCTCTTAAGTACAGCCAGTCCAGCCGTGCAGCAGGCGTTTCTTGGCTTTGAGTGTCCAGAGGCCTTGAGAAGGGATGCAGGGGCCTTTTCGCTACCTGCTCAGTTGTTCATCGCCTTTTCCTTCTTGTCAGGCATTTGTGATGTATGTGTGTTCTTTCATCGCCCAGGCGAGTGAAACATCTAATCAGAACGCATGTGTCCCTCAGCGGCCCCAGAGTTCCTGGAAAAAGACCAAACGATTCCAGCATGGACCACCGAGATGAGAATCAACAGTAAGAGAAAGACAGGAACTCCTGACGGTCCTCACGCGGAAAAGAAGGATCTCTTTGATCTCAATCTCGCTCATGTTTTTTTCGAACAGGTGGTTGAGTCGGTTGAGCACCAGTGGTTTTCTTTGCTGAGCGACCATCCTGAACATCACGCAATTGGGTGATTGAAAGACTTGATGCGCGAGCAAAGCTTGCCTAGCTACCTACGATGCCCATGCAGATTCAGTGTCGTCTTTTGGACTTCCTTGGACTGGCCACCCTGCTCCACCCTGCTCGAACTCTTTTCGGCATTCAAGTTTGTGTTCAGTCATCTTGGTGATGCATTGCATCCTCATGCACCTTTGTCATTTTCACTGACCCCCACGGTGAATTGGACACCTGAGGCCGCCCTTGGATCCCGACCGGGAACCCCTCCCGGTGCCGGCGGTGCCGTTGCTGGACCTGAAGCCCAGCACCACCTTGATCGTGGTGAAGGCGGCATCGCGGCATTGCGCGCGCGCACCGGTTGACCAAACGGTTTGGAGGTGAGAGTGAGGTGTGGTCCTTGGCGGTGTGGTCCTCAGTCCTTGCAGGTGCGGATGATCCATTGGACCCACAAGGGTGGGTCGTGAGTTTTCATGAACTGTAAGGATCCGAAGGATCTGTCCCATTGTTACAATTGTTGATAGGTTTTCAACCTGCTCTCAGCAAGTTCCATGTCTCCAGGATTCTTGTCTTGCCTTGCAAAGTCTATGACTATGATATCCGTTGCTGGTCTTGTTGGCTAGAGTTAGAAGGCATGTCCTTGGTCAAACGCAAGGTGATCATAACATATGAATCATATCTCCTTCCCACACGCAGCTGGACGCAGGCATTCTCACCCTCACGGGGCTCCTTGCGTGGGGGGACCACGGCAGCTGGGCTTGAAATAGAAGCTAGTCGAGAGGGAACTGGGAGGCTCAAAAACAAAAGGCCAAAACACGATCCTCAGCTTATGTAATCCCTTGGTGAACATTTTGTTTTAACAATTTTGCTACATCATTTGATTCCTACCTTTTTCAACAATTTTGAACACCTAGAATCTAGAATCTTCAAAGGCCCTTTGTGTGTTTGTGCCCGCATTCCACCCTCGAATGACAACGCAGAGCGGAAGGTAGATACAAGGATACAGATGGAAGGTTTCGAGATGTACAGGACGAAACAAATTGTGTGTTTCTATGTTTGCTTCTCCATGTATGTTGTTCTTTCCCTGTTCCGTTTGCACCAACCACTGGGTGTGAGCAAGCATGCACCAACCGACACCACTCCCTCACCACCACGCCTCACCAGGTTCGGCTCACCGTGCGGATTCCGGAAGACTCGGAGGAGCCCTACGCCTTGTGGTGCGTCTTTGGGGATCATCCACCCTCCCAAGCGAAGCTGGGCGGCGTGTAGGGCGGCGATGGGCCGCGTGTGGGAGGCTCTTGCTGCGGTGCCATGCGGTGCCATGCGGTGCCATGTGCAAGAACTCAAGGGGCCATGTGAGCCATTCTTTGTTTAAACCGAGCTTGAGTGCATCGGTTTTTGAAGAGGTTGAGCTATAATGATGACGATGTTGCACGCCCTTTTCCGAAGACATTCCAAGACGAAGAATCAAGGATCAGACCTGATCTCAGTGGAAGAGCCTGGCATGACAAGTTGGAGGCCAGGCCTGTGACATGTTGAGGCCTGTGCTTTGCTATAATCATACATGTTCGCAGGGTGGGGAATTGATTCGTACTGTGCGCTGAATCGGTGCGCCACGTGAACATCCGTGAAGCTCCAAAAACCACGCTTCGGAACAGAAGCGGTGTTTTTATTTGTTCCTTTCCGGATTTGCTGCTACCAAGTCCATCCTCTCAAAAGATGCTCGGAGGGTTTAGAGGTGCAGCTACCTGGAGTAGATGGCACAATCCTCAACGTGTTTTTTTAAAATGTATCCTCCATATAAAGGACCTTTTTGTGTTTGTGTCATCTACTGTGAAACCACTGTAATTGGATCAAGTTGAATGTTGCATATTGTTGAATCCTCAAGGTTCAATGTTGAATAGTTGAATGATGTTCAATGTAAATTTCTATCCGATTTTTTTGAGGCAATGGTGACCACTGGTGCACGAGCATCCATCGACAGGTTGCCTTGTTTTGTTTGGGGGGAAGGCGAGAGAAGGGCAAGACAAATCTGAGTACAAGTTGATGTCTAACTGGTTGAGCTCTTCCAATCCTCAGTCTATCCGATGATGTGGGCACAAGCTTTGCTCATTTGTTTGGCAGGCAGACCGCCAACAGATGAGCACCAGCCTTTGGATGGATTTGCTTTGCATCTCCCCAGAGCATCCGGTGGCTGAATCTGCTTCTTGGGCAAAGAACCAAGTTGCTCAAGATGAACCCAGAGAAGTGTATACTGTATAATCAATTTTCTTCCAAGGGGTGGAAGGTCATGGTCACCAAGGTCAAAGCGCTTGAAAGCCACTATAGTCACTAGCCCATGGATGTGTGACCCCCTTTCGTTGCACGCAGCCATCTCAGGTGCCCATGTACATCACGCGTTCATCTGACTTCCAACCAGGTCACCGAGATTTGTCGACCGAGACGTGTCGAGGTCACCGCTCACGTCAGACCGCGGAGCGCGGTGACTGGTGGTCCAAGGATTGGTGAGGCTTGTTAGTCATACAGAAGTAGGTGTGGGATACTTCGCGGCGCAGGCAGAATCAAACGAGCGAGCCGGATCACGTCACATGTATTGCTCCACTGGAACTGACAGTGCTCAGTTTTCTTCCCCGTTTTGCTTGCCACAGAACATCCCGAGGGATCCACATACCCTTTGAGAAGGTGATGGTGGAACCGACACTGTTATTGGCCGGTACCTGCCATTGTCGGGGGTCCAGGTTCAGTACCTTCGGGTCCCTGAGGAGTTCGGTACCTTCCAGGATCCGCTCCGGGATCCGTGCGTTCGTCCTGCCTTCGTCCGGGACGCCTTCGTCGATCGGCAGGCAGTGCACCCGACGGCTCCCGGATGTTCACCTACACCCCGCACCCGGCCACTTGGATGGAGTAGTTAGTGGCACCCTCCATCAGGTATAGGGCATGGTGGCATGGCATGACGTGGGTGGGGCATGGCGGTACCAAGACGTTCACAAGCCAAATGAGGAGAATCATTCAGGAATGAGGTCAACCTGATGTTGGGTTGTTGGCCCTTTTCCATACTCCATGGATCAAGAGAGCAGGTGAGAGGTGGCAGCTGCACTTGGAAATCGGTCAGGACATGATCACCATCACCCCGGCGCTGGTGACGCATCACTTTCAGAGGGATCAGCAGGCGGTGTCGTGTGGGACTGGCTCTCGCGCTTGGCCCGGGACGGTCTCTCTTGACAAGTTTGGTCTAGAGTCTAGCTGTTTAGCTGCTCTTGACCTTGGTGAATGAACAGAGCCATAGGTGGACCAGTTGTCTTGAAGCATTCACTGTCTGTGCCAGCCAGCATGACGCGGAACTACCAGTTGGACCATATGTATTTTGGAGTTTGCTTTGACAAGTTGACGCGTGGCACCTTCACACCATTTGACCAGTTTGACCGTTTTGCAGGTCACCATTCACATCAGGGCAAACCGTGGACAAGCAGTGCACCTTGGACTTCTTAAACGCTGTCCGGAGTGGACATAGCAAGAACAGAACACTCAAGCGTTGGTACTTGATGCTCTCACTGCTTGCATTGATTGACATTTCTTGTTGGTATCATATGTGTATATATATATACCAACAGGCAATTCAAAGACCTGGACTACCGGCCTCCCGCATGGGTCGCTCATGGGAGGCCGCTCATGGGTCCACTTGGGTGTTCTCAGTGGCCGCGCATGGGTCGCTCAGGCCACTGTCGACCTTGAACGATGCCTTGGATTGTGCATTGCTCTCACTGGAAACCGACTCTCGCTTGCAGCAATCTCTGGGGGGTTGGGGGCACTGGACGTTCGCCCGGTGGCCTGGTCGGGTGAATCGTCGAGATGTGTCGCCATCCGCCAGGGATCAAGCGGCTAGTGTCAGGCTCTCGAGTGTGAATCATTCCAAGAGCTTGCCATGAAGGCAGATGTCCCTGTGCCTAGCGATCAAGATGGATTGAGTTCACATGCAGCATCAAGTAGCAACCTGTCAACCCATAGCACAGATCCGTATGGAAGTCACTTCATAGCACAGGCGAAGACTTGTGCAGCGCGTATTGACCAGATTCTTGCGATGTAAGTCTTGCATTGCACCTCTTAACAACTAACCCCAACTGCTTGGACCAGCAAAATCAACCTTGCCAGCCGCATGTGTGTGTGTGTGTGTGTGCGTGTGTGTGTCAACCTCTGTAACTAAGAGTTTTTTGAACGCAGGGGCGTACGGCTCGTCATACCCACCGCACGCAACGAAGCTACGGTATGACGAGGGAAGGGTGGGCTGATCATCCACCTGTACCTGCGACTAACACATTGACTCCACTGGTTTCCCTCGGCCGCTGTTTGTTGTTTCCATGGTGGTTTGCTCACGATACCTCCCACAAACCCTTTCTACCGCGTTGTTGCAGCTGAGCCGCGCGTTTTGTGAACACTTCGTTTTGCAGCTTGCGAGAAACAGTTGTTCAACCGCCTTCAACTCCTTGGACTTTTCACCTTTCGGTTCCATCACCTTCCTTCGACCTGGGAATTGAGTTTAACAGAAAACCAATGTCAGAGTGTGAACCGCTCAGCCGTCCCACTTGGGTGCTGAGTGTGATCCCCGTCACTGGGGCGCTGAATTCACTCCGGAAATCGTGTAACGGATTTACTTCTTCCACTGCACCTTGTCTTCCACCTTTTCATAACTGAATCAACTGATTCAAGAGCCGCCGGGCTTGTACGGAGAATGAACCCAAACATGTTCTCTACCCCAAACACCCCAACCCCCCCCACCCACTAATTAGGGTAACAGAGGGAAATGGTACTCGACACACTTGTGTGTCGGTGCCTTTCCCTCTGTTGTCCCTTTTCTAGTCTACTCTACCCGGGCGGTTTAAGACTAAAGTCCCGCTCACTAACTATTGCACTTGTTTCATTTCTGCTAAGTAATCAGTAGAGTGCTAAGTATTCAGACACACACACACACGGACACACACATGCCACATACATCCCCTCCCTGCCCCCCACTTTCTTTCTTACGCTTTTGGTCGTTTCCTGGGCTTTCTCTCAGGCTTTTTCGGTTGTTCTTGAGGCTCGTTTCCCTACCCCAGTCAAGGGCTAAGTATTCACTTTTTTTCTACTCCTATCTTTCTCTCTTGCCCTCTTAGCGCTGCTCTTTCTGTGTTTCTTTCTTTTGTTTCTAAGGCTTTTTAGGTATCTATTCAGGCCCTCCGCGCGAGCGCCGCAAAGCGGCACCGTGTGTGTGTGTGTGTGTCAACCTCTGTAAGTAAGAGTTTTTTGAACGCAGGGGCGTACGGCTCGTCATACCCACCGTACGCAACGAAGCTACGGTATGACGAGGGAAGGGTGGGCTGATCATCCACCTGTACCTGCGACTAACACATTGACTCCACTGGTTTCCCTCGGCCGCTGTTTGTTGTTTCCATGGTGGTTTGCTCACGATACCTCCCACAAACCCTTTCTACCGCGTTGTTGCAGCTGAGCCGCGCGTTTTGTGAACACTTCGTTTTGCAGCTTGCGAGAAACAGTTGTTCAACCACCTTCAACTCCTTGGACTTTTCACCTTTCGGTTCCATCACCTTCCTTCGACCTGGGAATTGAGTTAACAGTTAACAGAGAACCAATGTCAGAGTGTGACCATTGCTTCTTTGCTATGTGTACACTATGGCACCTGCAGGCTTGCTTGACAGGCACCTGTCCAGCTCATCCAGCTCACAAGCATCACACCAAAACACCTTCATCCGGGACCGTGGATTCGGACGCTAGCGCGGTCATCCTCGCTTCGCCCAGGCGACCACCACCGGCGACTGGACGTGTCTCGAGTCACTGGGCTTTCGACGCGTCCCGGGTCTCCGTCCAGCCGCCACGGTCCGCGGTCCGCGCGAACAGGGCGCGGGGCGTCGTTGCGTCGTGGGCGCGTGGAGATATTTGGATCACTGGCAGTACTCGTTTCGATTTCGGCAGGATGTGATAAGCCAGTGGGAGTGGGAGTGTGTTGGACTTCCCAATGTTTGGGGGTGAGGTCACATCCTTTGGGTCATTGAATGCTCATGTTCGTTTCATGAACCATCACGGTGGTTCCGACATGTTTTTTTCATACGGTATGCTGAAAGCAGCAGCCCTGAGAAAAACCATCCACACCATCAGCACGTCCTTTCGTCGAAGCCCAGGTCCAACGAGAGCAACAGCTCGTCCTGTCAGAGCCAGACAGTGGGGGACATTTACGACGCATTAGGACCTGAATTCATGTAGGCTTTTGATGAATCAACCGTCCCATATGACGAGATTGCTCCATCAAATCAAGAGTTTTCAAGAGTATATAGATACGACCATGTCAACCATTTTGCGGAGATCAGCAGCTGTGCCACATAGATGACACAACACTGGTTTGTTTGGGACATCCACGAACCCAGGACTGTATGCAAGCTGAAGTTGGTTGGTTTGATCACACCGTTCCTATTTCTTGCATTCCCTCCCTTTGGTTGACTAGCCCGCCATGCATGAAAGCTCCAGGAACCGTGGCCAGTGGAATGAAGATTTCTGGCTATGCTGCATCGACGGCAGGCGCAGGGTTTGTCCTTCTTCTTGTGCAATTTTGTTGCTCATGAAGCATCATCGGACATTTGAATTGGCATGAGGTTCTCTCACATGTTTCTACAGTTCATGGAAGTTCAGTTCACGCGTATCTCTAGATTTCGCAGCTCATGTAGCTGATGTTGAGGCATCCTCTCGCAGGGCTCCAAGTTAGCAGATGGGAACGGCTTGGCAGCAGTCCCTCGACGATGAAACAGATTAGGTTGAATGTAAATAAGCAATGCTATGACGCTATGAGCTTATTACATTATGAACGTAATATAATATATATATATATATCATTATACAGACTGAGCCTCTTGAGAGCAGTGAGACTCCTTCACGAAGTGTGGCCCGTCATCGCAGATGAGATCCCAAGCGCAAATCTCGATGTCCTCGAAAAAACAGGCATTATGTGGTTGAATAGGTGTTCAGGTTGATTGTCTACATTTGTCTACCAAACAGTTCTCAGAAAGACTTGCCACCTTTGCTGGCTTGGTTGGTCCCTTGGAAGTGTCGTTGCAATGCTTTGCTCTTCAAACAAATCAAGGGACTAGCAATTGATTGAGAATAACTCTAATATATAAATGAACAAGCCCAAGCTAGTGCCAGGCTTGTGTCCTGGGTTCTAAAGTGGAGGGGAGGGTAGTCCTGCCAGTCCATGAGGTTTCTGAAACGGAAGTCACAGAAGTCACAGAAGTCAGACTTGCCCTCAGGTGTCCTGTCCAATTCCCACACAATTCACTCCGCAACTTGCATGCAAATCTGGAGGGATTGAAGGCACATGAATGACGTCAGCAGAATGGACACTTGAAGACGTTCGTACCATGGGTGCGTGTGAGCTGGGAAAGTTCCCGTTTTGCAGCCACCAAGAAGCGGTAAGACCCTGTAGCACCTTACCGCCGAGTTCTGTATCCTTCGTTTCTTCCACAGTGACAGTTCGATTGAATTGTGAAGGATCAGACTCACAACATCGTTCAGTGCCCAATTTTGGATTGGTGAATCAAGTTGTTGCCACTATACAAGCTTGAAACCTGCTTTTGAACGCAGTGCTGGTTCCAGCTGTGCTGGTTCAGTGCCCAAACCAACGACACCACCCAGGTTGGCCACTGCCACCAACGACGTGTCTGCAGACCCGACCCCCAGCCGTGAAGCCATCCGCAAGTCGCTCGGCGCTGCCCTAACCGGGCCCGGTCTGGGCAGTGGATAGAAGGCTGCCGTATACGGGGGGGCACCCGTGGCCGAATGACACCGTAAGAACACGAAACACCGTGGTGGCTCATGTGGCTCCTCCTTCCGAAACATAAGGAAGATGTTGGCCTCGATGTGCTGCAAATTCAAGCCATAGGTTGCGATACATCCGCTGGCCATATATAACAGTGGCACACACAGGTTTTGCCAGGCTTAGAATCAACCTGCTGGGATGGTCGTTGTGAGTCACCTCTTGGAGCCTCAGTGAGTAGAACCCCGGAGAACACTCCGAGGACTGGGTGGGAGGCCACAGAGTCGCATGGGCCTATGTGGCTTGAGCCTGGCCTTTTGGAGATGAAGGAAGCAAACGGCCAGGTGAAGGTTCCAGTTCAGGCAGTGAGAGGTTGGAGTTTGACTAGATGAATTTTGGATCGGTTTGGACGTGTGACTGTAGCGTGACTGTGCATACAGTCGGCCGTGATCGTGGACAGCACGCTGGCAAGTTTCAAGTGCATTTGATCTTGTGCGTTGGCTTTTGACATGCTTTTGACAGCACCACAAACCTGCTTTCTGGCTCCTAGAAGGGAGTCCTTTGTGGTTGTGCACATTCGTGCACTAACATGTTCACCGTGATCCATCCACAACATCGTAGTCATCCAAGGCCAGTTTCCTGTATATCATGCAACTCGGCTGGTGACTGTTGGTGGGCATTCACTACGGCATGCTGGGAGAATGTTCCGTTCTACTCGATGTGTGGTAATTGATTGTTATTGTTTGATTGTTTGTACATCCATGTTCATCTCATTGTTTGTACATCCATGTTCATCTCATGTGCGGTTTTGAGAGCGATTCATTGGCTGCAAGCGAAACATTTGTGCCAACATGCGGGCATTGGCCTTTTACCCTCCAACAACTGCATGCACAAGCTTGGGAAACTGCTTTGCCAAATGCAATTACGCTGTATATAATATATAATTAAGTTCTTTCACAACCAACTAATGCAGCGCAATTGTTACTGAGCATGTGCCCTGTTTTACGCGGACACAGTTCAAGCCTCCAGAACTGCCAAGTCAAGCCCTTCCCAATTCTCGGATCGGCAGTTGGCATCCAGGGCCTATACTTGAGAGAGTAGTTTAATGTTTAGTTAATTCTTTAAAATGATGTTACTACCGACAGCATTCCTGTTATTCATGCGGATCGACTTTGCACATAGCATTTGTTGTGGCAAGCGTATCACCGATACTTTCCACACCACAGATTTAGTTACTACTGGGTAACAGGTTACTATTACACATGCTGCGTGTAGGCTTCTATGGGGAAAGGTCTTCTTACGTCCATGTCAAGAGGCGCAACTCATTGCATGTCACTGCAACTCACTGCGCAGGACACCAATGCCACCGAACCGATCTTGGGAGTGCCCATTGAGACACATTTTGACATGAAGTTCCGTCTCTTGGATGGAGCTTTGAAAAGCTTGGAGAGAGAGTCTCCAGATGATCTGGAAAAAGCACGGGGAACGTCGAACGTCATGTACTAGTGTGTGTGTGTGTGTGTAGATCTAAATATATATATATATATTATATTTCTATATGCACATGTATGATCGTGTAGTATGTATTATATATATATATGACTAGGACGTGCATGGCAAGGACAACTATGCCCGGCACGGTGTGTGAGACCAAGATTGGCGCGCGTGTGGTCATGCCCAAGGAAGGCACAAATGCGAAGCCCCTGCGAAGCCCCCCAGTTGTTGATGCAAGCTCCCCGCTCCCCGCTGGCACGGGCAACCCTTGATCGACCGTTTTCGATGTTCAAAAGCCCAGTTTTTGAGGCTTGGCTGTGTCCTTCAACGGCACCTTGGATGTGCGAGATGACCTACTCTTAAAGGATGTGTCGGTGCAGGGTTTGGTGACCACCTCCATGTTTTGGTAGATCTCAATGTTGAACCAGAAAGTCAGTAGAAACATTCTTAATAATGATCATGAAACGGTATACTGTATATATACTTGGAGTGTTCATAGCAAGAGGCAAGACGTGATATGTCCAGCTTTTGCTTTTGTCTTGTTGCTGGGTCCAGTCAGAAGGAACGTTCGGCCTCCCGAATTTCTCAAGTGAAGGGACATGGGGTGCCTTCATTCATAGCTCTGAATCGAGGCCCTGATGGGGACTACTATACCTCTGGCATTGTGGCATCTGCTCCATTCTCGCTTCCCTATGCCATCAGACGCGAATATGGCTGGGCTGAGGGAGGAGCGCCTATACACCTGCAGCTTGGATTTTGAAGCGGGGGCACCGGCCCTTGACCTTGCCCCACGATTGGGGACTTCATGCACCACAAGCCAGGCATAGGGCGGCAGGCCCATGTGGCTCCAACTGGCTGTGGATCGCACCAGGAGACCGACCGGTTGACCTACCTGGTTACCTGGTTACGGTCGTTCGCTACATGGTGGACCAGGGCTCCAGGTCTTGACAACCAACTATTTATACAAAGATCTCAGATCTCAAGCGTGCGAGGAGGTTATGAGCCCTGCTCGGAGTGAGAAGGTTTTTGTAGCATGTGGCAGGTACTTCAGTCAGTTCTTGCGGCCTCCGGCTTCAAAGCGTCCCATGTCAACAAATCCAAGGATTGGCATCACATGGCCCGAGAATGCGGATTTGGATGCTTGTTTGAGATACCGTTTTTGCAAGAGTTTGCCCTGCTTGGTTTGGAAGCCTTTGGGAGGGAGGTTCTTTTCTGCTCAAGCTCTTCATTCGTTGTCGCAGAGTATTTTTGGTTGCTTATGCTATGTGCACGCTGTTGCTTTGAATGTGCACCCTGATTGCACACTACATTTGTTGGAATTCAATGCCATACGCCATACACAGCAAGTGTGCAGCAGCTTTTGCACCTGTCCCTCCAGCCCAGGAATTGAGTTTGATCTTCGTGCTTCGTTTGCACCATGTAGATGTTCTCGGGTCTTGGCTTTTTCTCTCAGTCAGATATGCCAAGCTTAGACTGTAGCTATATACATATATAATATATATATATATGTGTGTGTGTTTGTTTGGCTGATTGCAGCATGTCATGATGTGACAACCTGCCATTGTTCCAGTTCATTCATCGGTGTGGCGCTGTTTGCTGCGCGTGTCATTCATTGGTTGCAATGCGCAGCTTTTCCAGGTTCAACTACAGTGGATTGAGAGGAGATGGCACTGGCACTCCAAGATGTCTTTTATATAGGGGTCCGTATAAACCACCTTTGGGCATTGTGCCATCTACTCTCACCCACTATAGTCGAGTCTATATGTATATATATATATAGTCTAGTACATGATGTAGTACATGGTTCAATGGCGCAAGCTGGAACAACATGGAACCCAGTTTTGAATTCGGCAGTGGAGAATGGGCAGGACCAGGCGGACCAGGTAGGATGTGACAAAAAAGCTCGGGTCATCTCCATCAGCTTCGTTCTCACATCAGCTTCGTCTTCTATAGCTGTGTTCGTTTGTACATTGGCAGTATGTTGTTCAGCAGGCTGCTCGACCTCATGGACCGGTACTACCGGTCGGCGACCGCTGCCTCGGCCGAGGTCTTTCCAGAACGAAACGTGCCGAGTGATTGTGTACGAGTGAGCTCCAACACGGCAGAGTGCATTGTGCCAACACCCTCTGCGGGAGCTTCTTCAGCAACATGGCGTGGAAGGAGTTTCGGCGTGTCGAAGGACCCGCCTCGCGCGAGCCAGCTGAGCACAGCTGTTAAGACAATGCTCCAAAAAGTGTGTACAGACAAGAGTTACCGGGTTTGTGCTCAAGATTCTAAAACAGGTAACAGGTTTCCTGGCGGTTTTGCACACCCTCGCCCATGCATTACTGTCGGCACCAGTTGCACGCAGATCAAGAAGGAGGCTACTAGTACGTTTCTGCCATTGGCAGTTTCAAATTAGATCAGGCAAAGCGAGCTCTGAAGGCGGTTTGCCGAAGTTCTCATTCACAGGATTAGAATTGGTAGTTGCAAACGATCGAATGGATATATCCAAAGGGCACACATACATACACCCATCTCATCATTTGAGTGATTGGAACCAGCTTGGCGATATTGTTCCAAATGATTCCAAATGCGTGTTCGAGCATGTTCCGGGCTTTTTTAATTTGTGACACAGACGCGCTGAAGCATCAGACTAGAGGGTATAACATCGCTTGCATTGGTGATATTTGGTGATCATTCCTTTATCGAAGGTGGGGTGGTGGACTGAGCAAAGCATTATATATCTCGCTGTCGTTCCCATTTCGTTTCCATGTTCGTTTGGTATTTGTCTTGCGGTATAACGATGTATCACGCCGCGGCGTCGACCAACAAGCTTTCACTTTCACTTGCGCACGGAGCAGTCAAGCGCAGCGCCTACAATGGGCCTACAACAAACGGACGCATAAAAAAATACCAAACCACCTTTGTCGGGGGGTCTAGACCCCCCAAATCTCCTAACCCCCCTAATCCCCCCCACCTTGTTAGTTGATCCAACGTGCGGGGAGACTGGCACACAGGAAGCTGAGGTGACGCTTCAGATGCAAGCCATCCGCAATGGGGAGATTTCCACCTATGACCTGCCGGGGATCATCTACACCTACATGGCCTGGGACAGACCTGGACTGTGGAACCTGCTTGGACCATGCCCAGGGATCTTTTTTGGCTCAATGCAAGTGGGGGGGCCATTCGTGTTGGCCGTTCGTGTTTTTGTGGGGGCTCTCCCATCCATGTTCGCCAGCTCGAGGCGTTTCTGGAGCCATTGAGAGAACCAGCTGCACGTTTGGTCCGGTCTAGACGATCCTCTCTCCGATCCGCCTCGACGCCTCGATGCCACGGAGGCGGTCCCGAACTTGCTGCGCGCCCATCCGGCACGTGCACCCGTGAAGGGAGGCACCGTCTTAGAAATTACTGGAGGCCCGGTGTGTGAACGGGCCGAGGGCTTCGAAGGTTTTGGGCCCAACAAACACGTGATCGAAGTTTCTCACCTTTTCGGCTGGTTGTGTTTAAACCCCAGGGCTCCAAGCACATCCTCAGAAGGTGGTTGGGGTATGTTGGGGTGGATTTGGGGGGGTCTAACCACCTTCTGAGGATATCTAGGGAAAAGGGCCTACCTGTCGGTCCGCCTCAGGTCCTTTTGATGCTCGGGTGGAGTACTACTGCGCCTTCCTGCCGCCCTTACCGGCAGCCGCGCCACATTTGCCAGCCTTAAGTACGGAAGCAGCCAGGCTCGGTCTCACGCGATGTTGTGGAGGCTTCCCAGCCAGGCCCAGCCTAGTTCGGGTTTGGCAAGTGGGAGCTACGATGAGATGCGCTTCTTTTCTTTGGCTTGTTCGTTTGGAAGCTGAGGGGAACAGTATGCAGTACGTATGCAGCCATGGCGTTTTTCTTCAGCCTTCGGCTCAGAACACGAGGTGCGGATTGAACACCCGTCATGGCGCGCCTCTTCATAGTTTTGGTTACCTTGGTGCTTGGAGAGGAGGAGAAGCAGGGCTGCCAGCTCTTGCAGACAGCAGCTGAGAGGAGGAAGCCAGGTGGACCAAATGCAGGTGCGGTGGCTGGGGAGAACAGTCACAGGGAGAGAGGGTGGACAGCCACCACTTCTCTCCTTAAACAGTAACTGTAACATCATTTAAGTCCATGCCGTGTGTTGCTGGTGCTTGGGGCACACCCATTAGGGGCAAGGACAAACCAATGAGTGACCTTGAACAGGTGCCAGTGAGAAGGACAAAGGCATTTGCGGTCCGGTGTCTATAGAGCAGGACCTACTTCCACTCAAAGACGTTGTGGAATCCAGTGGCGAGGATGGCTGGTGCGTCTTCGGAGCTAAAGGGGTTTGGGCGAGCAACTGCGCCGTGAGCCGCCAAACCCGCGATATTGACACTTTCGTGAAGACCTGGGAACTCGACTACTTAATGGTGATGAACATGCCATCACCACCATACACCCTGAAGCTCCCGGACCAGCGCACACTCACAATCCGTGATCACAACTATCCCTTGGATGATCTCTATTGCTTTGCGAATGGCTGGTACTCTAATTCAGATTCTCAACGGGAAGAGTTCTTCAAGAACTTCAGCTATCTAGAAGAAGTGGCCTGGCCTACAAGTGATTTTCTTGGAGGGTGGCCTTCCTTTGAGCCTGGACCTTGTCCCCAGACTTGTAGCTCATGTTGAACTGAAAGTACATGACCCATCATGACTTTGTGATCAAAGAAACCACGAGCGAGCCCCCTCACTCTTCATCAGTTTTTTTTCCCATGTATCCATGTCAGCTAACATTTTGACCAAATGGACTTTAAACGTTGAATTCAATAAAGAAGCAAGCAAGATGTTTGTCATTTCTTATGGGGTCATTCAATGTGATTAGCCACGGCTGAGCAATGCTTAGAAAAAACACCTCACCACATCACAGCACAACGCTGATGCTGCGCGCACACACACACACCCCATCCTTCCTCCTTCGCTTCGCTTCGCTTCCCTTCTCTTGATGATGGCAGAACAGCTGCAAGACCGGGATTTATACTGTTTAAGTATCATGTATCGATACATATTGGTACTGCACTGGCCACAAGGCTTAAGGCTTTTTGGTCTTTCAGGCAGTTGGAACACCACCCCAAGACGGACCTGAGGTCTCTGAGAAATCCTGCAATGAGTTGCAGAAGAAGGTGCCGGGGTTCAACAAGTTGAGCATGAAGGATATGGCAGAAGAGTCGGATTATGACAATCACTTTTTGCTCGATTTGGCCAAGAAAGGCGGTGGGGATGTAAGTCAAAAGGCGTCTAGGCTGCAAAAGATAGCTTTGGAGATCTTTGGAGAATGTCTTGGTCGACATGCATCTCAGAACGCTCCGCAAACGTTTATCCATAGCATTCAATACCTAAAGCCCAGTCTTTTTTAATGGCTTTGATGGCCCTTGCCAACAGCATAGGTGGTGGATGGAATGTATGTCCACGCTGCCGTGAAGTGCTTGCTGAGAGGAGGTGGTCAAGGAGCAGTGTGTGATATCGCCAATTGCGCCTCGCGTGGCCAAGTGCCCTCCGCCGGTGGAACGCTTCTTTACTCGGCTCGAGGTGAAATCTCCAAGGTCACCAAGTAGCTGTGCTCGTACCTTCTCTGAAATCTGAGAGGCATAGCTGCCAACTGGAAAAGAAGGGTGATACCCTTCGATGGTGTTGCCGCGTTGCCACGGCGAAACTTGGTTTCTTGAACCCTGGCAGCGGCAGGAGCAAAATGGTTTCTTTGCAGCCACGTGCGTTGGATCCTGGAAGAAACTCATTATAGAGCCCATTTACTAGGAGCAAAGGGCATCGCTACGAACGGAGCAAGAAGCTACGAACGGGGCTCCTGGCCTTACTACTAGGAGCATTAGGAGCAAGAAGCCACTATTAACAAGGAAGCTAGTAGTAACAAGGCACCTTACTACTAGCAACTACTCTCTTCCGACGCTCTCGGACGGGGAAAGCCCCATGCAAAGAAACGCCAACCCGGAGTGTTCGCCAACGGCATCGCCATGCTAAGCTTTGACCAAAGCACTGTTCAACAAGACATGGTTTATATACAGTGGGTTCAGAGTAGATGGTGCAATCCCCAAGAGGTGGTTTATATCAACACCCATCTAAAGGACATTTCGGGGGTTTGTGCCATCTACTCTGAAACCACTGTAGCTGGATCCACTGGGCGTTGTTTTCCCTTTTGAATCACCGGTGGGTTGACATGTGGCAAGAAGACCACGTTGAATCCGCAGCGCAGATACCTGAACAGCAGCACGCTGCTTTGCGAGTCGCCCCGAGTGTTGCTGCCCTCCATATGCCGCTTCTCAGAAGGGCGGTGGTGGCGCGGTTTTGGGAGATGTTTGTATTTTATTTCATTGGATTCGTTTAAGGAAACATCTACCGGGAACCACGCTGTTCACCCACAAAATGAAAGGTTTTCCTGTAGATGTTCCATCAAACAAGTCTGGGAATTTTCGTTCTGATAGAACTTACTGGCATGGAAGTTTGCAGAACATCTCCAAAGTCCTGAACTCTGGCAGGAGGAGGAACGGCTGATGTTGTTTGGTGGGTTAGTTGTTGGATGTTATTGGATGTGTGTTCTCATATGAATGTGTCCTCGCTTAACATGTTTACTGGCGCTAGTCATTTGGACGCACCCCGGATGTCAAGCATAATTACACTATGTTGGTGCATGTGTCCACAGCATTGCATTGCCTGTGACCTTCTGCTCGATGACCCCATGAGTGTGTAGCACCCTGGATGCATCATGGTGCCCTGTAAACATATATAAACATGTACACACCACCGTTTTCATGCAATAAGTAGGGGTTCGCTAATAGGTTGGAGGCCATCGCTATTGGGTGTTCAGCGGGCTTTTTTCAATATGTTTACAAACAACGTTCATTGGAAAGAGCCTGTTTTCTAAATAAAAAAGCCCAAAAAGTCAATCCCAACAGTCAAAGTCAAAAAAAAGTCAAATCATAAAACTTCAGACAGTCAAAAAAAAGGTCAATTGTCCAGATCCGACCTTTTTGACATGTTTTCGATGTTTGTTTGACTTTTTTTCGATTTTTTTTGTTGACTTTTTCGAGTGGTTGACTTTTTTGACTTTTTTGAATTGTTTTAATTTGACTGTTTGTTTATGTTTTTATTGTTTTTCGACTTTTTTTGACTTTTTCGAGCTGTGGTCTATGGTTGACTTGTTTTTTCGACTTTTTTTTAAATCAAGGATTCTGGCCTTACCATATTGACAGTATTTTTTATAACAATATGTATTATGGATTCACCTCATGTTTTCTCGATTCTTCGGCGTGTTTAAAGATGTTTAAAGACTCTAGTGGCTGAACTTGTCACTACGAGCTACGAGGAGGACACTTCTGAGCAGTCCAACTGCTGACAAATCAAGCTTCAATGCAAGCTGATGTGCAAGTTGGAAGGCTACAGATGACGAAATCTCAAATGAAGATCAATAGCGCATAGCGGGTTGCGCAGGACCTTTTTTCCATGTTTTTTTTTGGCAACCTGAAGCTTTGAGGCAATTTAGCTTTGAGCTCTGACCGCGTCATGACCAATATGGGCCTGGGCCACGTCTCCTTCGAGTTCTTCGAAGAGGTGGATGAGGAGACCAGAGCATCCTTGGATTATCTTGGATTGTTTTGTTTATGATAGAGTAGTAGCCAGAGGAGGCACCGTGGGCGCCAAAAGCGGCTCGAGGCAGATTCTTTTGCACAAGCCGAAACAGAAGACAGGGATGAAGACACATGTCTTGCTCAAGGTCCAAAGACAAAAAAGAGGAAAGAACTCCCGGCCAGGCTGTAGATGGTTTTTCGGAAGGAACTCAGGACCAGCACCTGGAGCAGCGACTTGGTGCAGCAGCCTTAAGCATGTGAGAGATGTTATGGGAAACAGAATGCTATTCTGCATGCCAGGAGGAGGTCTCAGAATACCAGCCACCGACCCTGGATCCTGAGTTGGTGGTGCCGATCATCACTTCTTTGTCACCACTGGAAGGCAGAAAGCAATGGGGTCGGATTTGCCTATTCTACTTGTTTAGACAATATATATATATATGTTTTTTTAACATACATTATTATACTACATGATCAGGGTTCTTTCATTGCCAGCCTTCAATACTGAGTGTCCGAAGTTTTCCCAGGCTAGAAAGGACACATGTTTGATCGATATGGTGGTCCTGTTCAGGCATTGCTTGTTGTTCCCAGGTGCTTGGAAAGCTAGATGCATGCCCCGCTTTGTTTCACACTGTCAGAGGTCCGAACGTCAACTAGAAGCGCCAGTTGAACTGAGATATGTATGGCAATGAATGAACTCTCAGAGCAATGGGCCTTAGCTTTGCGTTCTTCAAGTTCAGTCATATCAGCTCAGTCAGAGCCAGTCAGGCTGTTGCACATGTTCGCTTGAATTGTTATGACTGTTATGAATTGTTTAGCATACAGCGGCTTCAGCGTAGATGGGACAAACCTCGATTTGTGCCATTTACTCTCCATCGGCTAATTGAAAGAAGCTGAGGGGCTGGTAGCCACACTTGCCTTGGTTTGTTGCACGCCGTCCTTGGGCCTTCGCAGGGCAGGAAGGTTCATGGTCTTCGTTGGGCATCATAGGAGATGGCTTTGTGGCAGGCTGCATTTGGGGGGCCGCCGTGGCGCATGGACACCTCCAGAGAGAAGCTGGGCATAGTTGGGAGGTATTTAAAGAGCAGGTGGCATGTGTTGTTTCTGGAGCCACATGTTTCTCAAGGCTTCAGTGTGCTTGAGAAGTTTGAGAGAGAATTGCACCAACGGGTCCAGATGGGCTGTCCAACAAAATAGCGATCTCACCGACTCAGCATGACTAAGCCTGACTGTCTCACCATGAGTCGTGACCCCCAACTGACTGACTCACGACTGGCTCACAACGATTTCGAGTCCATCCCAACCTTTTGAGCGACACAGTGTGCCAGGCTGTCAGTGTGCTTTCATCAGCGAGGACCCTGAAGACTGGGAGGTGGAACGAGCCCAACTCTCGGAAGCCACGGTGCTCAGCAGTATGCTCATCCATTGCGACTTGGTCATCCAAGGGACACTGTGTCCAAAGGATGAACTGCCACGCTTTCAGTATACGTCGCTGATGGTTGCAGCGGTGGTTGCAGCATCCTCATTTGTTCCACTCAATGATGGAAAGAGGGTTGGTGCAATGGACCAGGGCAATAAGTAATCCCTGTCGCCTTCATAGGCGCTGAACAAATCTATGGAATATACTGTATATGCCCACATTGTCCCCCGAAACCACCCTAGTGTATAATAGCTATAAATATGCATACATGGACTGTGCACATTTAGGACGTAAAGTCTTCTTGTTGGAGTTTCATGTTTGGAAAAGCCAACTTCCTGCTCAGAAGCAGCTGCAACCCAACACGCCCAAGGTAGTGCACCAGATGAAACAGTGGCAGTGGCTGTGTACTGCCCACCAGTCTTGTCCTCTAACTATATGTGGATGAGAAGGCTGCGGCCTTGTGCTGTGTTGCGCTTGTGATTTAGCCATTACTTCTGCGGTGAATGTGCGGTGCTCTTACATGCCTTTGCTGCGTTTGTCCATGTTTCAACGCAGTCTAATTGAAGAAAATTGGACTGACAAAAAGGAGTCCAGCAAGAACTGTACATGTTTTCACTCACGAAGAATTTGCTCTGAATTGCAAGACGCTGAGCTTCGACGAGAAAACAGTGGACATGTAGAAATCTTCAACGGTTTCCGAAGCAGTTCACTTCGATGTTCCCCCAAGCTTGGCGGTTTTGTCGAGGCCGGTTGCTGCTTCTGCGACTTGGTGGCCAAAGCTGAACTACACCCATATGTGTCTTGGAATTCCAAGTTCTGCCGAAACTTGCTTGAGACCTGCAAAGCCCGGCGAAGCTCACATATACTAAATATATATAGATATACATGTTTTCAGGTGACAGGCCTTGAATGTGTGGTTGCACCATGCACATTCTAGGCGAGTTCCTTTGTCACTTCTCTCCCAAGCAGAGAGTTGCGCCGCGCAGGTATCCAGAGTACAATTTGACATACCGCACAGGAGTGCGTATCCAGGATGTCCAGCCGCGTGCTTACATCCCCTATGTGGAGTCGCAAAGCACCCAGACACTTGGCTTGGTGTGCTTTGAAAGTTTGATTGTCCCTGTTGTTCCTTTGTTTAGCATTAATCTACATATTATTGTTACATGTTTTTGCATGACGGTTGGCAGCGCAGGAAATACTTTGTCATCCTCGAAGTCACAGGCCACCACTGAAGAACAAGTTTGTTGGCCTTGGCACATACCAAATGCAGCTCCTGCCACTGGTGCTAGTTGCAAGGAGCATGAGTCAGTAGGGTACAACAATTGAGCACTATGCACTCCATTCAGAACCCAAACAGGGATCACTGCCGGCCTGGAATTTTTTAACTAAGCTAGGTCACCTATGTTGCTGGGTACACTGTGTAACAAGTAACGCCTATATAGTTATGGTACCCCCCCGTGCTTACCTTTTGGATGAAAACAATGTGTTTTACAGGGTTTGTGCTGATATTCTATGGGCTAACCATTGTATATAGTGTTTTGTAGTTGTTTTAAATACCGTGTATACATACATTCAAAGCAGTTTTGAAATTTTGGTTTTCGTTGTGCAACCACAATATACAACAATACAAGGACTGTTGAAGTTGACCCCATCACCTGGCCTCAGCCACTGTGGAAAAAATAGGTCCATGCAGTTTTGATATTTTGGTATTCCTTACAAAAACGAAATATCAAAGTACAAAAACTGCAGAGCCCATGACTGCCATGACCTGGCCTTATCCTTTGTGGAAAAATAGGTCCATGCAGTTTT